TACCATACCATACCATACCATAACATAACACAACAGTACAGTACAGTACAGTACAGTACAGTACAGTACAGTACATTACATTACATTACATTACATTACATACATACATACATACACACATACACACATACATATATATATACATACACATACATATTTACATATATATATATATATATTTACATATATATATATATGTAATACATTTACATATATATATATATATGTAATACATTTACATATATTATATGTAACCACACCCCCACCCATCCACAGGGGGGGCGGGGAACATAGCTCCTGTATATCCATACCCATTCCTACTACTAACTACTACTCACTACAACTAACTACTACTATTACCCCCCCACCCACCCACAGGGGGAGGGGCGGGGAACATAGCTCCTGTATACCCATAGCCCTATACTTAGATACCCATACGCTTGGGGGGGGGGACCTGGGAGGCTGTATCATATATGTATACTGAAGACTATTGAAGCTATGTTAACATGTTCGATAGTCTAAAAAGTCTAAAGCAACAGTTCATTCTTTTAGGCAACACTGAAGTAACCCAACGGAAGTCTCGTCTGAGGACTCTGCAAGCTTCTGCCGTCCACCATATCTTGCAGTGGTTGGTGCACTTGATGGAGCACTGGAAGGTGCACTTGCCACTCCAGGCGAGCAACTGAGTGAGGAGAGCGAAGCAGAGCGAAGCAACGATTCTCTGGCTAAGTTTTGGACAAATAATACTGGGAAAATGTGGAGTGATAATGGCAATAAGAGCTTTGCACTTCAACTGTGGGAATCCGTTGGGTCTCAGGCTGCGCATGCTTGTCAGCGCGGTCTGATCGAGCTCGGGTCCTCTCATGTCTGCGAGTTGCTGTGTGCTTCAGAAGCAGCATACGCACTTCATATACCGCTCAAAGCTGCGAAGCATAGTTTCAAAGAGTTTGTTCATAGTTTTAAGTTTCAAGGAGTTGTTTAATCATCCTTAGGATGGCTTTTCACTTTCTCTATCAAGACTCAACAAACACTTCAATCTCTTTTCGCTCCGCTGCGGTATTCGCACGAACGCGGCTGCTGGTGTTATGTAGTGGCCAACCAGCATGTTGCTATCACCACTTGCTCAATTATGAGAAGGATCACAACAAGCTTGTCTCCTGCGATAAGTCTAAAGCAGTGGCGAGGCGATGGCTGTGAACATCGTGAACTTGAAATCTACAGGAGCGATAAAATGACCAGCTTGGAAGCAAAGCGAGCAGCTTGGGCTGCGCTCTTGGACTGGCTCTGCAGTCATCCAAGCTGGGACAGTTTCACGAAACATTGTCAACGTTGCATAGCTTTGCTGTATGCAATTGGTTCAACGATGTCTGTTGAATTCTGCTTGAGGTGTCATTGACTCTACCCCAAGCAGCCAGAGACACCGTTCAAAGTTACGCAGAATTGCGCTTAGCCTCTCTCTGCTCATACATGTTTTTTACACCTGTCAAGTAACGTCGAATGAACGCCAAAAGCAGCCAGATCACGACCCTCCTTGCATTTGGGCACTTGCATAAAATGTCCAATGTCAGTTAAAATGTCGGAACATGTCGGAACAAGCGCAAAAACTAAAACAAAGACCAGCAATGACCAGTGTAAGTATTGGGCTGTGGATCACTAGTGGAGTTTGGTTGTACCACGAGCTCAATGGATGCAGACCAAAGGAGTTGATTTTTGCCTGTGCTGAGTCCGTAGGAACCTAGGTTATCTTTGGGGTTGACAAGAGGATTTCGGGTCTCCATCTTCGTCACCATAGCTCCAACGTGTCCTTAGCTAGCCATGGTCCTCAATTCTACTGCCTGCGAATGTGCAACAGGACCAAACATGGCGCGAAGACTCTGCAAAAGATCATCTGCAAGCCTCTGAACTCGTTCCTGGCAGATGCGAAAGAAAGTGGTGGTTGATGCTATTTGAGTACTATGAGATACTATGAGTATTGCACAGTATTGCTAGTTAAAAATAGTTAAATTTTTGAGTAGCTAGGCAGCTAGATTTTTCAAATCCCTGATCCATAGACATCATAGACTGCTCCCGCCTGTCGCATCTTCACGACCATGTCCAAATCATGCCTGTGAGACCTCCAGAAACACTGCAAGGAAACACTTATATAACTACGTAACATTAAGTAACTACACAGACTTCGAATATATTGTAGAGATTATAGAATCAGAATGAATCAGAACTCCCTGGAAAGATCAGTCTGGGCAAGCCACTGCAAGGTTTCGTGGTTTCTTTCAACACACCTGACATGAACAATCGGAATAATCACAATCCTATAAGCATCCAGTTCATTCAGCAATCTTCATCAATCTTCATCAATCATCTGACCTTTAGAACTGGAATGGCTGGAATGGTTCGCTCAAACCAGGCAGGGCGTGCTCTTGCAAATTCCTGAAGCGTGCTGTCAGGGAGCTCACCGATGATGGCCTTGGACCACAACTGGAAGGCTCACGATAGGGCGCAGCCCAAATATCCAAAATCAGCACAGACTCGTCGCGGATCATTATACATAATATATATATATATAAATTATATATGTATATTACATATATTATATTATATATATAATATAATATAATATAATATAATATAATCATAATATAAAAGTTAGTTGATAATATAATATAATATAATAATATAACAAGTTTCTTGCACGCCCCTTCTCTCATATTCACATGTGCCCCTCTAGTTTTACTCCTTAACAAGCATAGTCAAACATGAGGGTAATATTTTGACAAGTAAGTGCTGAGATGATGACAAGGAAGGTTGAGCATTATATAATGTAAAAGGCGATATGACCCTGCGATAAGTATGAATGCACTGGAATATGATGTGGAGTAGAAACGGGCGATTTGAGCGAAATATAAGACATATCGGATGATTGGACAATCAAGTTGCGAAGGAGGTTATAACGAGATGTGATAGTTTCAGAGTACGGCCCTCTCTCATATTCACATGTGCCCCTTCTTGCACGCCCCTTCTCTCATATTATATTATATTGCGAAGGAGGCCCGAGAGGTTGCCAGCAACCAGAAAGACAGTTTTAGATTTAGATATTCTCGATCCCCACATCTCTTCCCTGTCCCCATGGCGGAATCGGCGAAACGTCTACTTGATCTACAACCAGTCCGAGAAGATGAGAGGAGATCCCCGGATCACAAGAAGTCCAAACAAGAAAAGAAAGAAGAGAAAAGACGAGAAAAAAAGGAAAAGAAGGCAGAGAAGAAAGCCGCGAAGAATGAAAGACGAGAGGAACAGGCAAAGCATTGGCGAGAACAAATTGCCAACACACCACATCGGCCATACACAGACCCCTCGGAGGAAACAATCACCCCCCCGAGACGAGACACCCTGAAGGCATACAGCAGTGCACGACCTTCAGCATCCCGCAGCAAGGAAGCAATGACAGCAGACACAGAAGAACGTATCAGCACAGCTGAAAAAGATATCAACCAACTCTTTGACGACACCGGCATTCTCTTCAGCGGCATGAAGCAGATGCAGAAGCAACAAAACTACCTGTTGCAAAGAGACCAGAACCAAGCTAGAAAGGAAGCGAACCAACAAGCTATCATTACAGGCTGGCCAGTAGACGCACAAGAACAAGACCGAGATCGCATCGTAGACTGGTTGGTTGGTGCCGCCTCCATCCCTGCAAGGGAATTCCTCTACGCATCACACAAAGTTCAAGGTGAAGTCCTTTCCCGAATCTCCATCCTACACTTCAGGAGTGTATGGGCTACAAAGAAGTTCCTGGAAAGCGCCCGCAGAATCACATCAGACAGACACCCCTTGCCATACTGGCATTCCGACAACAGCATTCCAAGAGACAGTTCTGGCACCCCCTACTTCCTGAGGGTCAAGCAGCAAATCTCCACACCCGACCGAATCAGGAGCATCCCCATGAAGGCATTCCTACAATTGATCAATGACACCCCAAACTGCGAATACCATCAAGAAACAAGAAACCTTCACAAGAACTGGGCTGCCAACATCATTGCAACAGAGAACGGCAACTTGTTGAAGTGTGTCTTCAACGACGCGGATGGGACAGTGAAGCTTCTCATCCGGGAGGATCTATTCCCAATGGCCGAAGAAGGATTAGCAACTGCTTGGAAAAAAGTAACAACACGACACTCAGACGAAGACTTCACAACGCAAAAAGGAAAAGGAAAGGGAAAGGCAAAATCCTCCTCAAGCACAGCCCGAGGCGTCCAAGATTACCTCTACAAGGTGCATTTGGTAAGGGTCCGTCCGCTTGAGGACGATGAGGATCCATAGGGGCTTTGCGGCTGGCCAAGCATACCGTGGAAACACGGACTTCGAAACCAAAACGACACCAATTCTAGTTTTGCTCCAATGATACCGCAGCTCTGCGGACTTCGTCACCAAAAAGAGACTAGACAAAAAACAACCGAATCCCAATTTTTAAACGCTGGCGTCCTACCTTCCATAGGTGGGCTGGGTCAGCCGCGAATCTCCCACCGGAGTTTTCTGCGGAGACGAAATGGTCTCACAACACAGCACTCAAAACACAAACTCGAATTGCCAAGAGCGAGTCATAAAAGAGGCCTACGTTCAAGAGACGCTGTAAACAAACGAAAAACTAAACGAACAGAGAACCGCAGAGAGAACAGAATTTCATACCGCATTTATAAGAAGGCTGTGTTGCAAACCCGCTTTGGCAAGGCCAAGCCGGCGGGTTTTCACAATTTGGCTCAGGATACCCCTCAGCCATGCCTTGACGCACGGAACTTCTTCCTTACTGCTGCACATTCCAGGCTAGACGGTTTCCACAAATATCGTAATAAAGAAAAGACCTTAAGTAACCCCAAAAAACCTGATGACCCTAACTATCAGCAAGACTCTGCTGCCAGATGGACTATGAATTCTTACATTAAATTTGGTTCATTGAATTGCCGTGGTCTTGCGAGTGAACACAGCGTGACCAAAAAAGAAGTATTGGTTCACTCCATGAGGAAACTCGGCCTAGATATGCTTTTTCTTCAGGAAACTCACATAAATACAAATTCGACCGAAACGATTGAGGGCTTTTGTTTCATATACTCCACAAGCATAACGGATGCTCAAAGAAAACAAGCCGATAAAACCAGAGCAGAAAATACGGCTAGGGGCCGCCAAAGAAATGGAGTCCGACATGCACCCCCAATTGACATTGAACATGGAGGCACAGGTGTTATTCTTTCCCCAAAAGCAAAAGCTACACTCTTAGACTTTAAGCAAATTGATGGTCGAATCATGACCGTAACTTTGGATATGATTGGGCCGCCTCTCCACTTCCTAAATGCGTATGCGCCACAAAGCGGTACTGAGACCAGATTAAAGAATGATTTCTATGAAACGCTGGAACGTAATTTGGTCAGTTTCCCCAATAGTCATCCAACCTTCATCGTAGGAGACTTCAATGCAAGACTGCATGCCCGTTTTGAGAATGAAGCTTGTTGTATTGGACAGCACATTTTTGGACGTGGCTTGAACTTCTTGATCCACAATTCTAGCCCAGCTTCATTTGAGAACAGAAGCCTATTTGTAGAATTTTGTTTGGCACATGACCTCCACATTGGTAACACATTATTTCAAAAACCTGTGTCAAAGCAGGTGACCTTCAGAGAAGCTGGTGTGCTAGGTGGACCTCCCTGGTCCCCGGATAGATTTGCTCAGATTGATTTTGTTTTGGTTCCTGACAGGTGGAAAAACACTTTGGTTGACGTGTCCTCATCCCCTGAAATCTTCACTGAATCAGATCACTTCATTGTTTGTGCGAAATGCCGCGTCAGAAGGAAGCAGCTTAGTTCTACCGTGGTCAAAAAGATTACATATAGTCCCCCTACTCCACTGGAAAAAGCCAGTTATAACCAGTTCATTTCAGATACACTGCGCCAGGCAAGTGATGCGGAAGCCAAAACCTTCCTTGATTCTATCCGTAAAGCAGCACGTGTAAATTTGAGACCAACACCGCTCGGCAGACGACGTTCGTATATTTCTGAACATACATGGGACCTGATCTTGCAAAGGCAAAGAGAACATGACAATGGCAATCATGATATCTTATCTGAACTTACTAAGAAGATCAAAAAAGAGGCTAAGAAAGATAAAAAAAGACATATCCTCGAACAGTTGAAAGATACCTTACCATCTAGAGAGCAATGGGCTGGAATAAAAATCATCAAAAACAAGCGGACACCCAATTTCACCAAAATGAAAGATAAAGATGGAAATAGGGTCGGCCCCCGCGGGCGTGCAGGAGCAGTTGCTGATTATTTACATGCTGTGCAGTGGAAAGCTGACATCCTACCGCCGTCAATTACTAAGAGATCAATCATCCAAAGTGACTTGCCCTATAATCTTGATCAAATAACTATGACAGAACTTGATGCAGCATTACGAAAAGCGAAGAACCACAAAGCTGCCGGCCCTGATGGCATTCAGGCTGAATTATTCAAATATTTGGATGTACAAAACAGAGCAGCTCTCCTTTCCGTATTGAATGGGTGGTGGTCCAAGGAAGCTATCCCATCAGATTTCTTAAATGCCCAAGTTGTTTCTATTTTTAAAAAAGGAGACACTGAAAACATTGCTAATTATAGACCCATCTCTCTGTTGAATGCTATTTATAAGATCTTTGCTGAAATCATTAGACAGAGGCTTTCTGACGTAATTGACCCATACATTTGTAATACCCAATTCGGGTTCAGAAAAAACCGTTCCACCACGGACGCGTTATTCATAGCCAGAAGGTTGCAAGATTTGGGAGAACGATCTGGGGACAATATCGTGATATGTATGTTAGACTGGAAGCAAGCCTTCGACCGGATCTCACACCCGCGGATGATGCAGGCCTTGGAGGGGTTGAACTTACCAAGAAAATTCAGAAATCTTATTGCAAGTTTTTACACGGACCTTTCCTTCCAAGTGAAACATGAAAATTTTCTATCGCATGCTAAATCTCAAGATGCCGGCATACGTCAGGGATGCCCACTCTCCCCATTTCTGTTTATACTCGTCATGACTGTTCTGTTTCACGACATTGGCGTAGAACACTACAGGGACCTTTCAGAATGTAGGCTTGACCAAATCAGTTTTAATGAAGTCCTGTACGCAGATGACACGCTCCTGATTTCCCGAAACACATTTGGCATGAACTTGTTGCTTCATGCCATAGAAGACGAATCAGCTTACTACGGACTAAAACTCAACCACGACAAATGTCACGTTTTGGCAATGAACGGTCACAACTGTATTCGTTTTAAAGATGGATCTCGCATGAAGCACGTGGAAGAAGCCGTTTACTTGGGCGGAATTTTGACCAAACATGTTAACATTGCGTCAGAAGTGTCCAACAGAATTGCATCAGCTATGGCGACTTGGAAGAGTTTGGATATTTTTTGGAAAGAAGCACAATGCAGTACCAGAAACAAAATTCTAATTTATAATGCAGTCATTCAATCAAAACTTCTCTATGCCTTGGAAACAATTGAGATTCCAGTGGCTCTCCTTTCACGATTAGAATCTTTTCAGTTGAAAGGTTTGCGAAAGATTCTAGGCATGACTACGACCTACATCAATCGTGCAAACACAAATGAGGAGGTTTTCAGAAGAGCAAACTTGCACATTGCAGCGAACCATCATGGAACCAAAATTGAACCAATTCAGGACATTTTGGCCCATCGTCGCATCGCACTTGCAGCGAAAGTTTTGAGACAAGACAATGACAGCCCTATGAGAATGGTCAGTTTCAAAAAAGATACCGCCGCACCTGTTGAGGTATTGTTTCGACGGGTCGGCAGACCCAGAAAACAATGGACGCAAAACACCTTGACTATGATATGGCGTAAAATTCGTAATGACCAAAGTGATTTCAACAATTCCAACGCACAACTTGCTCAAATACTGCAAGCAGCTATCAACAAAGAAATCTAGTAACATTTTCCTACCAGGCTGTATCCTGGACATCGTAACTAAGTCGAACTAATCTATAGTTCTACTTCAAGGAGTTCCTGTACTGAGGGGCAACGATGCTGCGGGGAGCCTACGGGTATGGCACCTGCCTTTCTAAGTTAGTTTCACATCCGTTTTTTCACAAACCATACCTATGGCACGCAAGAAGAAGAAGAAGAAGAAGATAATATAATATAATATAATATAATATAATATAATAATATAATATAATATAATATAATATATATATATATATGTATATAATATAATATAATATAATATAATATAATATAATATAATATAATATATATATATGTATATAATATAATATAATATAATATAATATATATATGTATATATATATATAGTTGAATTTGCACACACAGTCTCCATGTTCGGCCTAGAACTCCTGCCACTGGTTCCTGCAAGCAACTGCTTGAAGATGCTATAAGCGGCTGGAACCCTTGAAAATTTGCATTGAAAAAGTGACATGTGCTGCAGCCTGTATGTGCCTGTATGTGTTCCAACAAATTGCACATTCGTTCCGGCCATTGCGGCTGCTCAGTCCCTGATTATTGGAAGAACAAGGAAAACGAACATGGCACCTCCTCGCGACAAAGCAGACACAGGCCGCCTTTGTCGATGTGTTCATCAACAAATAGCGAAGAAAAACCCGACTCTGGGACAAGGAGGCTCTATGGCTGTATGACTGCATGGTTGCGCTTTGAGCAAGGCACGAAGATCCAGGTCGAGAAGCCCTTAGATTGGGACTTGTGAAGTGTGAAGAATGGGACAAACTGTGTAAGAAACTTTCTAGATTGGCAAAAGATTTGCTTGGGAAAAGATTTGGCACTAAAGCTCCGGCCATGCAGTTGATGCAGCCGAAATTGGACGCCTAGAAGACCTTAGAAACACATCAAAAGTTGTGTTGCATCTGAAGTTGAATCCTGAAAAAACAAAAGCAAAGATCTTATGAAAATAAATTGAGAGAAGTGTGATAAAGGCAAAAGCCAGAAAAACAGCTCCATTTTGTTGTCCTAATTCCAATATTGTCTAATGGGATTCAGCTGCGCCTCCAAAATGCTTCCAAGAGTCTTAGGGCGCTTGGGATCACAGCTTAAGTGGGAAATACTGGGCCTTGACGCGCCAGTCACAGAATGTGGCCTCCGGCAAGTCAATCTGCAATCCATAAACCTAAAAAAAAAAAGGTGAATTCCGTCTCGCTAGTCATGTACCAGAACTGAAGATTGCGTCCACAACTTAAAGCCACAATTTTAGCCTCGAAGTCGGAAGCTCCTGAGGCTGATTTGCATCTTCAGCTTCTTGCCTGCTTGGCCAAGAGGGAGCCAAGGCATGCATTCAATAGCACGTTCAATCAGATTTCCTTCAATCCAGTTGCCTGTCATCGACTTGAAACAAACGTCTTCCTATTAGCAGCAAACAGTGGACGATGCCGGCACAGCTTTTCTCCAGACTGCCTGAGTTCAGCTTCCTGCCATGCTCTCTTTTCCTTGCAAAGCTAGAGAAAGTGGTGAGACATCGCAAAAAAGACATGCGAAGATGCCAGACCCGAGCCATCCGAGCCTTCACATCATCAGATCTTGCCTTCGACACCGCCGCTTTCTGCATGGCAGAACCTCAGGATACTTTAAGGATACTGTAAGCATACTGTAAGGATACTGTAACATGTTGAGCTCGTTGAACTTGTGCATGGAACGTCTTTGTGAGCTCAACGAGCGGCAGCAAGTACTTCTCGTAAGCGTCTCACCCATCCATTTGGAATTCCTCTGAATTTCTCCTCGCATTTGCAACTCCACTGCATGATTTTTGTGGGGTCCACCAATTCTTCAGCATTTAGGATGGCTCTCAAGAGCAAGATGCGAAAGGGCCTCAGCTGAACCTGTATACTTACTGAGGTTGCGAAGAGCAAGACCACAACTCCTACTACCTCTACGTCATCAGAAGAAAAGTCTCAGGAAAAAACGTATTCCTTGCACATCATTCAAGCCATGGCTCGGCATTTCTGGTTGATGCTCACAGGTTCAGGCGGAACCTCCTTCCAGGCTGGATGATACTGGATGAGTTGTTGACACAAAAAATAACTTAACGCTCAAGCCAAGCACAAGCCTCGGCCGGAATTTGGTTTGCTGCAGCAGCTAGAGCCTTGGATGGCAAAAGGGAAACGTTTTGAAGAGCGGCTTTTTTGCCCAGTTTCCAGCCTCACTGGCTGAAGCCTTTGATGGATCCATGGCTCTTTCTGCTGCTGCCTGCTATGGGCTGAAAAGCAAAAGCTCAGACCCTTGGACCCTTGGACCCTTGCACCGTTGGACCCTTGGCTGCTGCTGCCTGCCGGATCGCTAGAATTGTGTCCAACACCTTCCGATGGTCTCCAAGTACCTGCATCGTAGCTATGACACAAACAAGCTCAGCCATTTGCAAGGCAGGGATTGAAATCAAAAAGGGAAAAGTCAATCCGCAAGGCAAAAGTTGCAAGAGTCACACTGTCTTCGATTGTAGCCTTGATGGCCTTGCCTCATTATTGCTCTCTGCATTGACTTCCATAGCTGCTATGCGATCCTGTCGGGTTGTCCGGTGAAATACACACAACGCAGCTGACTTTAGTGTACTGCAGCTACGCTTCATCTAAGTACAAGACCTTGCATGTGCTTGTTACGGATTTGGCCAACGTAGTGCAAAGCTGAATTTACGAAACTTTGATTTAGGAAGTTTGGACTCAGCTTTTACTGTGCTGTGCCAAAGTCCATAACTCGTCAGATTCAAGAGCTCTCAGAAAAGCGGTCCTTCATGCTTGTGTTCTCCTTGGGTCTTGCATGTGCCTGGCATCTTGTTTCATGTCCATGCATGTCAATGTACCATGTGGTTCAAATTTTCAAAACAAAACATCAAGAAGCAGTATGAGATATATATATATACATATATCATTATTAACATGATTATTAACATTATTATTATTAGTAAGTAGTAGTAGTAGTAGTAGTACTAGTACTAGTACTAGTACTAGTACTAGTAGTAGTAGTAGTATCATTATTATTATATATAAGATAATATACAATGTTTTATATATAATATATATGTAATAAAATGTATTTATATATGTAATATTATATATATATATTTATTTAATTATATATATTATAATATAATACATATAATTACATATATTATAATATAATACGTATAATATATCATATAATATAATATATACAATAGAATTTATATAATATAATATATAGAATATAATATATAATATAATATAATATAATAAAATAACATATATACATATATCCTTCATATATATATAAATATATAATTGTATATTCAATAATATATACATATATAATATATATAATAACATATAATGATATATATAACAATATTTATATTATAATAATATATATCATAATATATTATAATATATAATAATATATAATAATAAATAATTAAAAAAAATATAATAATATATAAGAATATATAATAATATTTAATAATATATAATAATATATAATAATATATAATAATATATAATAATATATAATAATATACAATAATATATAGTAATATATAAAAATATATAAGAATATATAATAATATATAAGAATATATAATAATATATAATAATATATAATATTATAATAAGATATTATAATATAATAATATATAATAATATGTAATAATATGTAATAATATATGTAATGTATATAAATAATGTATATATATAATATATAATAAAAATAAAATGTGTATATATATAATATCTATAAAAATACAGAATATAATATAGTATAATATAATATAATATGATATATGATATGATATGATATGATATGATATACAATAGTGTTATACATATAATATATATATAATATAAATAGTAATATCTATCATATAATATAGTATATAATATATAATATATAATATAAATATAATATAATATATATATATATATTAATATATATATATAATATTTATAATATAATTAATATATATATAATATAATATATATAATATATTATATAGATATATATATATAGTAATAATTTGAAATATATCATATATGTGAATAATATATAATATATATAATAGATATATATATATAATATATATATTTATATATAATAGATATATATATATATATATAGTAATAATTTAGAATATATCATATATGTATAATATATATGTATATGTAATGTATATATATCATATATATATACATAGTATAAATGTCTGTATATACATAATATAATTATATAAATATGCTTGCCAGATCTTGCCAGGCTGACTGGATCGAGATGAGGAGCCTGAATTGCAGTATATGACTGCAGTCGTCTCTCGGAGATCTGTTTGCTATGGATCCAGTCAAGACATGTCAAGACAACCAATAAAATGAAGACGGGATGAGAATGAATGCGATATGCATCAAGTGCTTAGTCTCATTGAAGCATTCAAGAGCATGAGGCACTGGCAGGTTTCAGCTCAGCGAGCTTAATGGTATCAGGATTCGGCCTTCGGGCTATCCAGGTTAAATCTAGTCAACTGAAACACTGAACGAAGACATTGGATCACGACATGAAACTTGAAAGTGTGGAGTCTTCTGGCTTGGGCAGACAAGAACCGCATCAACAACCCCAGCTTGATGCTCCAAAAAGCCAAGAGCCCAGCTTGAACTGCTCCATAAAGCTTCTCGCTGCTGCCTTTCTTCTTTCCACGACCTGCTAAACTCCCCAGACTCCCTAGACTCCGTAGACTCCCCACACTCCCCAGACTCCGACATCCATATTCTCCTTTGGCACCGAATGCCGAGTGTGCCTCATCCATTCCCTTCCTGTAAGAACCTCAATCATTTGACCATGCTGACAGTCTGAAAATGATCTTGAGAAGCATTGCAATGTCCGTTTGAAAACCAAACTGAAATCCATGTCTGTCTTTCAGCCCAATCTCAACTGTTAGAAAGCAAATTGGAAAAAAAAAACCTATCAAATCACATTAATCACATAGGTCAAATCATGTCAAATGACCCAGGACACTAGGTCACTTTCACATTTGGAGTCCAAGATTCGCATCTCTTCAAGGTTCCGCAGCATGTTCTCCTGAATGGCAGACCGGCAGACCCCAACCCGTCAGCGCCACAAAGCCTTGCACCATCCAAGGTCTCCTCCAATTTTTGGCATCGCTCAACAACCTGGAGCTGTAGCGCGAGTGAATTTTTGGCTACTGGGCTCTTCTTGGGGGTCTTCCCATCCTTTTCTTTTCGGCACCCAGAGACACGTGAAAGAGTTTGGAACATTTCATAGATCGCGAAGGCTTAGCAGACTTAGCACAAGACTGTGCCACGTGTGGCCCTGCTTGACTGCCATCTGCCCATTGCCTCCAAAAACTCATAGACTGCCATTGCGCATCTTTGCAGCCCTTTGACATATTGCAGCCAAGTCACACAGGGCGGCGCAGCTGGCACAGGCTCAGCTAACTCATGCAATCTATGCCCTTTAGCTAGATGTATTGAAACTGAAACTGGCGGAAATGCATTCAAATGCACCCAAAGCAACAAAACATGGTGATCATCGGTGGTCCATGACAGCTATGACACTGCGTGGCTCTGCAATTCTACAACATAACTCAAGCAGGTGAACTCGTAAACTCTGATGCATGAAGGTGCATGGCGGAGTCTTCCAGCCAAATAAACAACCAAATGACGAAATCGTTCCTGTCAGCTGACTTGGCTCGTCCGCTCAATGAAAGCGTGATTGCAGGAGCCTAGGTCAGGTTCGGAAATCATTCAGCGGGACGCCAGATGCAGTCAATCAAACAAAAAAAATGGATACCTGTTTGAAAGACCCCCCACCTTCACGCTCGTAGGCTGGTTCGACAAAGCGCAGCGCTGGCGGTGAGGACACTTTGATACCCATTGACAAATGACCAGCTCAACAATCTGAGGTAGTGCTTGGTGATCCAACATCAAACAGGTCAGCTTGACTCCAGCACGCAAATGCCCAGCTTCTTTCAGACGTCCTGAACGATTTGACTGCAGGACACTTTGATGATATACCAAATGGAGACTCCGTATTCTGCAAAGGCTTGAAGGTCTCAATAACAACAGAACTCCTGCGGAGGTAGATCTGGGTTTTTCAGCTACCTGCCATTGCCAGTGGCCAATTCCACTGTGGTTCATACGCTACCAGCAGTTTTATCCAAGTAGAAAAGCACAGCTGTATTAAAGAAAAGGACTGCTATGGGCATGGATGGTGTCTGAAATGGAGAGGAACAAGACATGTCTTCCCACAGCAGCACTTCTATCTGCCACCTTGTGAGTTCAAAGAGTCACACTCTTCCAAGAGTTTGCCAAGATCTATCTAGAGTGAGAAGATATGCAAGGCTTGCTCGACCCTTATCCCAGGGTGGATGGTCCCTAGCCAAATGTGCCAAAACACTGAGCAAAATCGCAGGTTTTCTGCTCTCAAGATATCCGGCCCCCACTGCAGGTCTTCAACAACCCTACTGCAGTAGGTCAAATACATTTACAGTATGTAGCTGATTGGTTGCCCTTTGACGCCTTATTAGGTCAATAACGAAAGCCTCTTGGCCAATTCTTAATTATTATATAAATGAAAGGCAGAGAGCCTTCGCTGCAGGCATGACGGGTGGAGACAAAGCTACAATTGAACTCTGCGAAAGCAAAAGTGCGAAGTCCTTCACTTAGATACAATTAGCAACTATATACAGGGGGATGTGTTCGTGCGGATTGTTTAATTCTATCTGATTGCAAATGCAACAAAGACAGCAATACTATGCAATACTGCTAATACTATCCAATACTACCATGTCAAAAAAAAAGAGGTTTCTGCCTATGCAAATGTTGGGCCATAATTGGCACGCAGCACTGTAGGAGTGAGTGGCTGCTATGGTTCACATCTCTTTGAAAAAAAACGATTTGGACTTGCCCCAAGAAGCCAGGTGCAGGTGCAACATTCAACCTCTTGGCACAACTTGGTTTGCCTCTCCTCTTTAATGAGCCAAATAGGGCTGCTGCGCCGTCGATTTTGGGGGCCCAACATGAAATATCATGAAATCCAGAACAATCCAAGTCACAATGGGAAGCTGAATGAAGCTGATATTGAACTCATCTTTTGCATGGCATAGACCTTGCTGACGGCACAGATTCTATTTCTTATTCTTAGAAATCAGCTGGCATCTTTTGTCCAGCTCTGCTGAGGCCATCAAAGCTCCATCGAGGCATTGCCCTGGCGAGGGCATTCACCAAGTGAGTTGGGTCGAGATGTTCGGAGATGTTCAGAGGCCCAGACCGAGGCCAAAGTTTGCTCTTCCTGGTACCAAAGACCTCAGAAGCTGCAGAGGCCCCGCCCCGCTGGCCCCGGTGGTTAGCGAACACGGCAATCTGTTCTCACGGATGTGGAAAAGAAAAACATCTAAATAATCTCAACCGAGCAACTGATTTTCATCACCAGGGCAAGAGTGACCTGCAGGCTGCTTGACACTTCTTTGCATAGCCTATCTAAGCTTTGATGGAGACAGGGTCTTACAGGCTGAGCAGATACAGTGTGAAGCAGAAGAAAGGCTTGCGTCGATCACAAATCTCAGGGTTCGCTTGGCTTGTGCTGTCAGACAAGGAATCGATACTTCTAAGGACCATACCGCAGATATGATCTGCCAGAGGAAAGTCTTCCTGTGAAAGTTGTCGCCATGGCTGAACGGACATGAAGGGACCGCTTTCCAGTACTGTGATGCCCAAGAAATTCCTTTTTTGTGTCTCCAGCCTCCAAAGTCGAGGATCTACAGGAGTAAGATCTGGAAGGTCCTTTGAAGGAAGCGTACAACAGTCACATAACACTCTGATTGAAATTTGAAGTCATGCTTGCGGTTGTGCCGTCTTCAACATCTTTGCATGTTTGATTCATCTTGATTCATCTTGATTCTGCGTCCTCAGTTTCATCTGTCTCCTTCTTCATGATCTCTATTTCTCCGCCTCGCAACCGTCTACCTGGGCTTTCAGATTTGATGTGTCAAGTCTTGCTGGAGGTGCAAACAAGGCAGACAAGCTCATTTCGGTAAAGTACCGTCAGGGAGAGGAAGTTCGTCTTTGCCAGCAAGCACTTGCTCCAGTGGCACCTGGCACAGCAAAAAAAAGTCTTCACAATTCACTATGGAGTCCAAAACCAAGATTGCAGTGCTCTAAAATGCTCTCAAGGCAAAGTAAGACCCTTATTTTGGCTCTCTTTCAATAAAATGTCAGGCTGCCAGCGACTTCTTGCACTTGCACCCTCCTTGATGCTTCGAAATCCAACGCCAGGTGAGATTGATACGCTGGCCAACAGGCCCTTCTGAAGATTCTTCCTCTGGGACTCGATGCATGTAGTGCTTCTGGGTCATTCCTTCCATGGTACACAGGTCGCCATCAGCCAACTGCTGAGATCCACCCAGAGACTCGCCTTCCTCTGGCCAGTTGAGTTCCAGCTCAAACAGTCGTGTGACTCCCAAGGAAAGGGAAATGATGCGACAGTCATGAAACTTTCCCTGGAACAGGTCTTCGTCATCAGCATGCCAACCCACCATTTGAGTACCGTCTTCATACAGGTTCAGGTTGCAACTGTCAGGCATTTTGTCAAATTCTTTCAATCCACAGTGTGGCATCACTTCTTTCATGAGCTCTATCATCCACACTGGGTATGGAGTTGGCTGTACAGTCATCCCGCCATACTCATATGTACAACTGCAGCCCTGCACAACCATCCAAGCAGTCTTCCGTGGCATAGGTCCCCATCTAGTAGATGGTTGCATCCATTTGGTCCCAACTCTCACTTTTGCAAACCATGCAGCAGTGGTTGCTTTTTCAAATGGATTTGCCAAGTGTGCTGCAAAACTGCGACGAGATTCATCTTTCAGGAAGTATGTCCACAGATCATCTGCAGTGTCACCCATGAGTTGTAGGGTCACCTTAGAGCGAGGCTCTTCCCAATCCGTGCCTGCAAGCTTTGGTGGAGGTGGCTCCTCATGTTTCCATGCTCGTTCTGTAGCATCCTTGGTCTGCTCTGGGGAGGTTTGCGGCTCAGTCTTTTGCCTCTTCGCAGGAACTTCGGGTATGACAGCTGGTATGACGCATCTTGCTCGGGCAGCCTTGAGTTGTGCAATGGCGTCTGCCAATGTATATCGCGACTGGGCGAAGTGCTTCATGGCACATTACCCTCACAAGGACCTGAAGATAGAAGACAATGGCAATAACGAACATATCAGCAGTGTTTGAAACTTACAGTAAAACAAGTACATATAGTGCGCGTGTACATGAATAGTCATCTACGCATAATGTCAGTATCTTCAATTTCCCTGGTGGCTAGAAACGACGCACTTCTTCATTGTAACGTATTTCATGACTTGAGCAGCTACAGACTGCGAGGCCGTGACATGAAATCAATTGTTCAAATTCAATGGCACTTCGCGCATTCGCTGGATTCGAATCAATACGCTGCCTTCATGCCTGCTGCGCGGCAATAATGTTCCAAACCTTTGCCGAAACGGGATCACAGAGCTCACGAACACTGCAGGAGGAGCGCTCACAGTCACACTGGGCAGACTGGCGACGCAGCTCCGCCTCGGTCGCTCAGGTCACCGTGTAGATCACAAATCAAAAGGATTCAAAAGGAACAAGACCCCTCAAAAGCTCTGGAATGCAAACCAAGGCTCCAAAACAAACATGAGCTGACTGTTCGACTGCCACTCTTCACACTCCTTCAAGAGATGCAAACCAAACAGGCCCAAAACTACACTACCATCAATCTCCGAATCAAAGCATTGATGGGGGAAGTGGTTTAAAGTGGGCATGCTACATCATCCTACCTTTTCTCTTCATAAATACAGAAACATGGGCAAGCCCACATGGGAGTCTTGTCACTGGCAGCTATCGAGGCGGAGGAGAAAAGTCAAAGCGAATCAAGGCAATCAATGGCATCACAAAAGCAAGCTGAGCTGAACGTCGACGAAAAGTCAAGACTCAAGACTAACGAGTGCCGAATTTGAATAGACTCTATGAATAGACCCCTCTCCTCCGGCTTCAACCTTTCAATCCCAGCCCAATGGCGCACAGCCTGCTCAGCATCTGTAAAACTGGGAGTGAAGATACAAATTTGGTTTGCCTCTGCATTGTACTTGAAGCGACTGATGTCCCGGTGAGGACTGAAGGTATGAAACGTCGCCTTGAAAACAGGCGGTTGCTCCAATGCCTGCATGAGCATATTTGAAGCTTTCAGAGTAAATAGAAGCGGAAACCCATTCAGGTTTTCAATAAATTGGAGACTGAATGACTGAATGCACCTCAATTTTGTTTGTTTCGTGTTGGAGCAACAAGAGAGTGTCAAGTCCACAGGTTGAGAATCAATCTGCGTGCTCTTCAGTATGTGGCGCGTCCAATAAGCCCTGTGCCCCATGAAATTGATCGTTCTCTTTCAACGATTTCAGTGCTTTTGCAACCTGAGCAAAACTTTTCTCACCTTCCCTTCTCTCCTTCACATTTCACAATGCCTCATCCAAATGCATCTTCATGGGTTGCACAATGTTTCAGACCTCAAAACGCAGAGTATGAAACCCGGACCGTGTATGTCTGAGACTCGGACCTGTGAAAGTGCATCGTCGCCAGCCATCAAGGAACTCTGATGCACTGACGCCCAAGCGGAGAATTCTGCGCTGGGCTTGGAACTCAAGAGCTGTAGCTTGGATTGCCTATCTGCGGTCTTACCTACACTACCTAAGGGCATCCCAAGGATTTCCAGGGTATCAATTAGAGCATCTAGGACTGTTGTTGGGCGCCAATAAAAGTCAGTCGATTAGTTCGGGAAGGGCAAGAGTAGCTTCTACGCTTTCCCACAATGCCTCGGGCACTTCAGTCATATGAGCATGCTTCCAAGCGCATGATGTATGTGGCCTGAGCCCTAAAACTCTCACAGAAAGCAGTAGACAAGGTTCAAGACAAATTGGACCGCGATCCAAACATGTGTTTGCTGTGCTCGGTCTTTTCTATCTACATTCCGAAAGATCCGAAAGCAAAGAGTCTTCAGTGGCTCCATCATTCAGAGCTCTGACATTTGCTCTACCGATCACATGCATTGCGTGCGAAGCTGCGAAGCTGGGAAGCTGAGATGCTCCGAGGAAGCTCTGTGAAACATCGAGGCATTGATGCAGGTTTGTGCCCAAGTTTTACACATGGCTCACGAGGTCTTAAGGGATAAGGAGATTGAATGAGATTGAAAACAGTTGAACACAAGCCAGCAACATCAAGGCAAGTTCCACAGGATAGTGAAACAAATCTGTGGTCTTGGCCTTTGGGTGCCATTGCGCACGCTGCAATGTTTGCTGGGTCAGATATGGCTAGCCACGATGTCCATCTCCTCAGGTGGGCAGGAGGTGTCAACACTTTCAGCATGGGGGGCTCTGTGAATGTTTTGGTGCAGAGAAAATGGAACAGAAGCACGCATTTGAAATTGAGCGCAATGCCAAATCATCATATCCGGCAGAAGAAGGCGGCGAATCATTTAATCCGCACCCACCTAGCAGGCCCAAAATTCATGGAAAGGACTGGTCCGAAAGAAACACACACACAGTGTGTGAGGAGAACTTCTCTTGACTTTCAAGAACTTCTTCCACTTGGGCAGTTGGCAGTTACCAATTCCCACAGTGTTCCCACAGTGTTCCCACAGTGTTCCCACAGTGTTCCCACAGTGTTCCCACAGGCCTGCTCTTCGATGTCCTGCACACGCCTTTGAAGCCCCAGGATTTGCTGCTGCAGGGACCTCATTGCATGTAATGTGGGTGGGCAACTTCAACTGGCATCTTGCAACTTCATTCCGACATATTCCAACTCATTCCTTCAAAGTCTGCAGTGCAGTACGGCTGAACCCTCTAAGGTACATGCGTCTTCTCTTGCTTCAGAGTCGTTATCTGCTGTTGCAAACCTGCAGCAGTCAGGCAAAGCAGATTATCCCTGAAAGCATCGTAGGTAGCTGGAAAACCTTGGGGCGGTGCGTTGGTTCTCTGCCTTTTGTTGAACGAAGTGCCGCTTGACTTCATCCTTCCGCATTCCAAGGTGGAAACAGAAGCATAGTCAGCATTGTGCCCAGTGGCATTCTAAGCTAGTTTTGACATTCTTTGACACATCCTTCTATCATCGTTTGCCACCGCAAGACAAATTGTATGCCAGTGTATGCTTCACCGCTTCAAATGTCCTGCAGACGTTGAACATCTCCAACCATAGTCTTCTTGAGTTCTTGCAACTGTCCTTGGTAGTGTTCCTGGCATTCAGAACAAAGCAAGAATTCCGCTCTTTGAAACGAGACCTGAACATCTCAAGTTACAATCTCTGATCTCTGCGCCTCAATGCCAGCTTTGTCTCCGCGAAGACTCTCAATCTCCTGCGGGAACTGCTCTTGCAAATTCTGATCCACACCGCTCTATCCCCTGCTTTGACGACTAAGTTCAAAACAGCTAAAAGCGGCCCTTTGCGGTTTTAAATGGGACCACCCAACTCCACAAGCTACGCAAGCTAGACTTATAACACCGGAATCCCTCTAGGATGCCAAATTCAAGTTTTTTTTTACGATTTTAATATGGTTTTTGATACGATTTTGGATATGGTTCCGATGGGTTGGCTCCAAATCACAAGTTTAACCCACATCAAGAATCATCACTGAAACCATATCAAAATCATATCTAAAACCGTATCAACATCATAACTGCAAAACCACACCAGAAACAATTCATAACAACAAATCATATCTGAAACGTATCAAAATCATTAAAACAAAAATATTATTTTGAAAAACCTTCATCCTAGAGACTTTGGATGTTATAAAGCTAGACTAGCCAGCAGGCACTGGCGCTTTAGCTAGGTTGGAAGCGTCTCTTGCTGATGTTTTTGCATTGTGTCCTGGCGCTGTGCAGCAAGTTCCTCATTTTGCATAGAGATGAAGTCCTGAGATCAGAACAAAAGCAGCTCCATCAATCCCTTTTGAGCATCAAACCGATCAAAACTCTCCTCAAGAGCTGCCAACTTTCCCTTGAGCCCTGTTGGGGCGATGCTTCCCATGGTGGCGTCCATGATGGCCTTAGCTTGTTGCTTCCGAATTTCTCAAGCACACCCACTTTCCCCTAAACATCTACTCTCAAAGTGGCTCATAATCTGCACCTTCCCTCGTTTGATCTCAGCTGTGCTTCCAACTTCCAGGTGCAGAATGCTCGGAGAGGGACTAAAGAGCAACTGCTTGAGCCAATACCTGATCTGAGAATAACCCGAATAACCCTCCACCCTGAGAAAGATCATTGGAAGCCTTGCAAAGCCTTAAGTTTGAAAATGGCGAAGCGCCTTGAAACAACATGAAACAGCCATGGTTCAGCTTCTAAAGAGAATTTTCCGATATTTTCCTCTTTGCGCAGGTCAGGCGTTGCTGTGTTCCTGTGAAACTTTCGGTCTGATCTGCAAGTTGGCAGTTCAGTCTGGCATTAACTCGGTGCAAGTAGACAGTTGGCTACGCCATGAGTGCAATGTCAGGAAGCTTCAAGGTATTCTCAAGCTCCCCAATTATTCTGAGTCAGTCCTGCAAAGTGCACATAGACCATGGTTGCTCTCAAGCCAGAAGAATTCTAAAACTGGAACCGTGATGGTAGACTGAATAGACTGAGTGGTCAGGCAACGTCTTCGTAAACATTCTTCCCCACTAGCTGGCAGCTTTAACCGAAACCGCGATTAGCAGGACCTTCTTTCGGACGCGCAAACAAGTGGCTGAAATTTGCACCCTGCCATCATGCCTTAAATGATCTCAAATGTACAAGTTCCATGAAGTCCCACAACATGTTCTGCCAATCCACAATTCGTGCTATAGCGATGTCTGATCTCTACGGAGCTGACAAATCCTACACACTTTGCGCGCTGATTCAGCCACGAAGAGCAGCTACAAGTGGTCAGGCTGCTACACTTGCTGTGTAACCTCGGCTCCCTTGGATCTGGGGAGCAATTTGGTGCTTCACAGCCCTCGGCCAGTGAAGACCAGGCAAGTAGCCAAGGAAACGCTCAGCCAACCTACCCTTGAATTTTGAAGCCTTCATGGTACCATTGGGGAATCACTCGATGCTGTGCCATTGAAAACAGCTGTTGGTCTTTGTGCAACATATTGTGAGCGATCAGAATACACTGAATACAGCGCGCAGTAGATTCTATACAAACTGAGGATGTGCCTGAGATAACCAAAAACAACCAGAAAAACAACGAGATCTCCGATATTGAATCTGTTGCTGAGAAGGCCCCATCTGCTTGAGTTGGTTTCAGTCCGAAGTGCAGCTGCCATTGTTGCCATACCTGGGTTTTCTGGCAGTCTGATGAGAGGGAAATATTTATATAATATATATATATATATATATATAAGTTTATATATATATATATACATTAGTTGTGAGATGTAAAGCATAGATGCTCAAAACGGTTCACTCTATCCAGGCTCACATCCGCATGGTTTTTTCTTCCCAAACTCTTCGTGCGGTCTCAACCTGCTCCTCGCAGGATAGTGCTTTGGAACGCTGTGCAGGTAGTCTCCTGCACAGCAGCACTGGTTGGATCCGTACACCCTGTTCCGCACTCCTGTAAACTCAGGAGGCTACACAGGTTGAATCTCTCCCAATGCACTCCATCCCAAAGCACTCAGAGAAACTCCACAACCCGGAGAAACGCGGGAAGTGGTAGAGACCAAATCTCGAAGGGGAAAAATGCAAAATGCGTGGTGAACCCATGGCGTTTGTGCCATGTTGCCTGGAGGCCTTCACGGCTGATCTCATCGGACCAGTTGGCCTTACTAGGGATCCACTCCCAGAAAAACCAAGCTTTAAGACCAAAAAGGGTAATATGAATCAACCGAGACATATGCTCTAAATCTGCATTGTCAGAACGACCTCGAATCAATGCCATCAACGCTGCTGTGTTGTCGATGAACCAGAGACCTCGTCTGCCTCGAAACCTGGACGGCCGCAAAAACAAAGCGTAGAGCACCTGCAGCAGCTCTAGCTGGGCAATCTTCTTGTCACCGGGCTCCCAGAGGCTGTACACCAATGGGGGAATGAGAGAAACAAACGCCTCTCGATGTTGCCGGTGATCATCATGCCAAACCACCAAGAAGCCCCCTGTACCCTGACCTGGGCTTTCCAACGCAGCATCCGAAGCGGCAAGGAATCGGAGCCCTGCATGTGGCCAGATCTCGATGTGGCGAGAGGGACGGGTGGTGATGACAGTGCGCAAAAGGTCAAAGCATTGGCGCAACTCCTCAGTCAACTCTGCGGAGCGCTCCTGCTGTCTGCGCTTGATGGGGGCCAAGCCACCGCAGCCAATGCACCCCCACACGCCAAGCTCAAAGAAGTTGGCGATACCGTAGAGCTTGGCCGCCACCCCTGTTGCAGCTTGCCGGAATCCTCGGCGGTCTGCATGAGGTGAAGCAACTTGGTCTCGATGCGTTCACGGGCCCAAAACTGAACCAGACCCTTCAAATGAACTTGACTGAAATCGTGATCCAGGCCCAGGAAGGTGCCGGTATTCTGCATCTTCTGACATTTCTCCTCGGAAAAGGGAGTACCCAAGAGGGTGTTGAGGGTCTGCATAGCTCTCTGACCTGATCCTCGGCAAGATTTGCGGTCTGTCAAGTGAGCATCGTCAAAATACAGACTTGTCAAACAAAAGGCAAATCGACGTGATAAAGCCTCCACAAAACGACTGTATCGATTGAAAGATGTGACCGCAAGAGGAAGACCAAATAGCAAACCTGTGTAAATCATAAACGCCGGTTGTTGCCATTCATGATGGAAGAAGGCCACAATGGAGCACAAAGCCTCATCCCAACTCATAGGGCAAAAACGATAGGCATCTGGCCAATCCTCACCACCGGACTCCCATTCTTCTGCCTCCCAGTTGGGTGGACTCCCAAAGGCGTAGGCATACTGCAGGTGTTGGGCCGGCCGCAGCGCTGAGCAAAGGGTGAGCTTGTTCGCGTCACTGGAGCGCTCAGATTGCAAGCCAACGTAGGCGTCGTCAATCACTCGTTGCTTCCCCGAGGATTGTGTGATGACGCATCGAGGGATTAACCGGTAGGGTTCCGTACCCAGACAACGCTGCAGTTCCTCTGCAGTCATGGGCAAACCACAAAATCCCTTCTCGGCATCTTTGAGGCTTTGCTGCAACAAAAACTCATCATCGGCGCCTGGCTTGAGCCGAGCCAAAATGGTGTTGTTGTGGCTCTGCCAGTCCTGGAGTACGTCATCCCGCGTCAAACGGGTGGCAACTTGTTCTGGAAAAATGCCATATGGCGGCGCATATCCCACTGCTGGAAGCCCCATACACAGGCCTGCTGGCAGTGTCACATCGCCCCAATTGGCTACAAGAAGAAGAATTGCTGTGAAACCGACATCTCGCTGCAATGTTGCTGTCCTGATGGCCTCAGTCTGTTTGCCTCTCAAATGGGCCGTGATCGAGCTCCACCGCCTCTTCATCTCTGATAGGATGCCCATGGAGCGCTCTCGCAACCTACGCAGGTCAACTCCTGGCAGGCTGGAGAAAGATGCGGCAAACCGCAGGTCATCGTCCAAAATGGGAAGCCCCTCAGTAGGCAAAGGTTGCATGCTGAGCTGAAGGGCTTGCTCGAAGTGCTGGTCTGGCTGAAGGTGAAAGGGCAGAAGAGGGGCTAACGCCGCTCTGTGGTTGATAGCTCCCACCTGCTGACCTTCTGCTGTCCTCATCTTCTGCCGCACTGAAGGGGCTGCCAACACGGGGTTGCAGCTGCCCTCCATGTCCAGCCCCTGCTGGTGGCGCCATCGCACATACAGGTCAAGTGGGTGTTGGTTCACTAAGTCCTCCACGAAGGGGATGGCAACGCCTTCGAACCACTCTCCTGGGTAAAGCTTCTTGAAAGCTAACGCCAAGGACTCCTGCAGAATGTAGAATGGCCCAAAAGGGATGCCTGTAGCCTGCGCGACACTCGACAAGAGGACACTTCGGGTAACTCCCTGGTGACTCCTGCCATGCTGACCTTGGACCACCTGTGGGGCACCCCGAGGGCCCTGCTCACTCAAGCGATCAAAAATCAACCCGGCTAGGAGGTCAGCTTCGCAAGTTTGGGCTGCTGGGCGATCACAGACCAGCACTGATCCCTCAAGCTCATCCAACTCGCACCAGAGTGTCTCCCTGATGTATTGGACGTAGTAGGGGACCCAGTCTTGAGGGGTGCAATTCACTCCCACCTGCCATGGAGACTTCCACTTGGTGGTTGGTAGGCGGTGAGTATGGCTTCCGAGCCCCACATACACATGACCGGGGGGAAGTGCGCCCTGTTGCAATACATCTTCAACACATGCTCTCGTGGGCACCCTAGCTGCTTCAGCTGTGTCCAAGGGTCTCAAACCCAGGCTGATGGCTAGTGGGGTCATAGCCCACTCACGAAGTGCTCTGGGATCGAGGTCAAGCCAATGGTCCCGATGTCCGGTGCAGCTCGGTGATGGGGACCTCGGCACATAGAGCTTGGCGTGGCCAACACGCACTGCCCACCACGAAGCTGCCGTGGCGATGGCAAAACATAGCTCTGCTGTATACTCGGACTCCTCAGCTGAGGGGAAATGGCGCTTACCATCCTGCACCCAAGGTTCCCATTCCTGGGGATCATGGAAATGGTTGCAGTCCGCTCTGGGCCATTGGGCGATCTCCGCAATGTTGTGGCGCAGCCGCTGCAGCTTTGCTCTGGCACCACCAAAACAGCAGGCTGAATACCGCTGATCTGACCAGCGACCGCTCTCCCACATCGCCACCTCATCTGGTGTCCACCAGTGGAGGCTGTTGTATGGGTTCTCGCGGACTGATCCACCACCCCTGTCCACCAGCTGATCGATCTCGGACAGCACGAAGCTCGCAGCCGCATTGTCCTGCTCCACTCGTGTCAGCTGAGACCCTGTTAACTCAGGGAGACCCAGCGGGTGTTTCTCAGATCGCAACGGCCGGGGTGGTGGGCGCCCATCACCAAAGTCACGCGGAATCTCCCTCGCTCGGCTCTTGGTGGAGCAATCCAAAGCTGCTGCAATGAAGCACACGGATTGTAACTGCTCATGCAACGATTGCTGCCTGAGGCTGTTGGATAGGTCATGGCTCCTATCCAACATCCAATCCACTGAAATGGTCTCCCAACCGCAAAAGATGAAGGCTTTGGACAGAGGTGTATTAGGCCCCGCATAAAGGTCCGCCATCCGTGGCAGCTGACAGTCAACTCTGTCTACGGGTCTTGCCTCATCCTGCCCAGCAGAAGTGCCCGCCTCTCCCGCTGGGCCCCGTCATGGCGAAATCTTCGCCCGACATTGGGTGGCTCCATGCCCCGGCATACCACAAATGCGTTCACCACGAACCACGATACCGCACTTGTGCTGACCTTGGGGGCAGGAGCTTTTGGCGTTCTTACACTGTCCATGTTGGAAGGCCTGACAAATCTTGGAGCCATCTCGCATCACCTTGGCCACCTTCTTGCCACTAACCGGCTTGCCCAACGCAAACTGGGATGGTGGCTGAACTGCTGCCGCAGCTACTGTGGTGGGCTTGCTCGCCTCTGCCTTGAGTGCTCCGGGCACCGCATGTGGTACCCAATGGGCATCTCGTGCCACACAGGTCTCCTTGATGACCTCCCCCAAGGACTTGGATGATTCCCGAAATTTGGCAACCCAATCGGAGCGATCCTCAAGGCCGCGAGCTTCCAGCCAGGCTAGCCTCTGTGACAACGGCAGTGCACTTGACTGGCGCTTCGCCCTGTAGAAATATTGCATGACGACATCCAGCGGCACCTCCACGAAGGTTGTCGAGTCGGCGCCAAGGGTCTTCTCCGCCGAGGCATCCCGCACATTAGCCCTGGGGGTCACTCCCGCCATGGCATATGCGACAAGCAATGTGAGGAGGCGATCCAGATAGTTTTCCCAGTCATGAGGGATCTTGTCCTCGTCCTCAGCCTCCTCGGTATAGAGCCCTTCTGCCAGCTTGCGCTTCTTCTGAGTCGTGTGGAGCTGGTACTGCAAAGTGCGAACCTTCCACAAGTTGTATACGCACAGCATCCTCTTGGACAGCTCCCTGCTGATCCTATAGAGAGTGTGGCATCAGCTGGATGGATCTCTGGCGGGAATCTCATCCGATACCGAACCCAGAAGTTGGATTTGACATCACGCAACTCCGTGTCAGCCAACATAGTGTCGAGGTCGCTGACACTGATCTTGGACCTATCCTGGTCCTGGTTCTTGTAGTTGTAGTACAAGGTCACTGCAGTCCAAGCTCTGCGCAGCCTGGAGCCCTGAATCAACCTATCATCACCAAGTTGCAACTTGGCCAAGAACGTGTCGACTTTCGACTCATCCTCAAAGAGGAACCGAAACTCCTCGAAATTCTGAATCTTGGTGGCCAACAGCGCCTTGGTCACAACGGGGTCCAACGAAAAATTCAGCCCTAGAGACTCCATGGTTTCCTGAATGGTGGTACTCTCCACCGGAACCAATCGAACACTAGTCATTTTCTCAAGGTAACTCCTTGTATGACTTGAACATTCAAAGCTGCTCACCCCCAAACATGCCTCCCGCATGCTGCACATCACCTGCCATCCAGGGACAGAAGGAGGTGACAGGGGGGGTAAGACAAGAACTCCCCTGTTCCTCAGGGGTACGACAGACTGTATCCTAGTCCATATCCCCGGCGCACATCATGTAGCTTGTCCTCACAGATACCTGTGTAAGCCACCTCATGACATACCGGTAAGACTAGTTAGCACAGCCTGTCATGACCTCATCCTCCCGGATGTTGATAGGGCTATTTTCCACGCAGAAGTCAAGCTCTCAAATGGTTCAAATGCATATTAGCCTACGGGCAAGCTATGGACCACGTTGATCAGCTTACCAAAATCGGCCCTGTGCTTCTCTTATTCAAATGAATTCTGGTGCGCCACTCCTGACAAGGTCAGCGTGGATGCCAGCTCGCTGCTGCTCGCACCAAACAACCGTCACAAAAAGCGCGGCCCCAAGCCATAGCCTCCCTCATGTCCTGCGTCGTCATTGGCTTCACCAAGCGGATTGCACGCTCGGCAGATTGCTTGTGGGAGCAGAGGGTCTGGCCGTTGTTGAGCTCCAGGTGGACCTTGGAACGAAGCGTCGCAATGTAGCCGCGGGCTCTGGGAACGGGTTCCTGAGGGAGCTGGTCCTGATAGTCGTGTCCACCCACGACCTCATACCCTCTTCATGAATGATCCCCGGAATGTCCAACGAGCGCCTGCAGCTCTTGACATAGGCCACTGCAACATCCCAGCTCTCCTGGGCTAGCAGCGCACGGAACACACAGCCCCCAATACCTGCCCGGTGGCGCCCTGATAGGCAGTGGATCAGGGCCGACTCGCCTGCATACATCGTATTGCGCAGCAAGGGCCAGACTTCTTCAAAGTCCCTGTTCCTTGAACCACCATGGGCCACACACAGGTGTTTCAAGAGGGCATCTGTGAGCACCACTCCTCCTCTGGATGATGGGGCTTCGGCCATGCACGCAATCTGAAGGGTAACTCCCTTTGGAAAGCGATTTGCCGTGTTCCTGGTTGGGATTCCACTCAGCCACAACTTGCCCCCTGCCCTATTCTGATAAATAAGGCTCGGGCTCTCCGCTGTCTTGCCATGGATTGTCGCCAACCTGTCGAACTTCTGGTCGGGCCCTCGAGTATCCAGTGCCTCTGGAATCGGAAGGTCCTCTTCCTCGACTTCAACTTCTTCTTCTTCCGAACTCGTAACCAGGGCTGGCAATGGCGCTGGAGGTGGAGCTGGGGCTGCTTTGGCCTTCTTCGCTGGCGGTGCCTTGGACGGCGGCCCTTGTGGGGACCTTGGGCGCCTCACTGACGCCCTAGGAGGGGCAGCTGGCTCCGGAGGTCGCTCCTCCGTGGATTTGCTAGTAGGCTTGGCCTTAGCAGATCCCGAACCAGGCCCTTCGCCAGTCATTTCCTCCACCTTGATGAACTTCTTGTCGTGGCATTCACATGCCGGATGGCCCCCACCACAAACTCGTCCAGCTTTGCGCAGAATCGCGCACGCATGGCGACCAGGACACACTTCCTTCTCCAAGGGGCAGGACCTTGTCTGGAAGGCTCCACAAATAGGCGCCCCATTCTTCATGAATGCGCTCAGCACCTTCCCATTGAGAGATGCTGGCATCGCAGACAGGCCACCCTTGGCTTGTGCCTCCTCTCTTTTGGCCGCAGCTTTGAGCTTGAGAGCCTCAGACAGCTGGAAACGCGCCTGCATCTCCGCCTTCGTCAAAGGGGCTGCCCAAATGACCCTGGATTCCTGCTTCAGCACCTTGTCAACGGTCTGGCGCGCATACTCCAGGGCCTCAGCATAGGTCTCTGTTGGGATGGTCTCCCATGACTCATGGGAAAGCAGCTTCTCCATGGCCAGCCTCACAATGTGCTTGGTCCTCAATGAAGACTCATACCTGGCTGCACTGTAGTGCATAGGCATGGTCGCCTCCTTCGGGATCTGGGAACGATCTGCCCAGTCCCCCAGCGAGCACAGCTCTAGAGGCGTCAGCTTCATCAAAGTGCCCACTGTAGGCGCGGCTCGCCGCCAGGAGTAGGAAGACAAATCCTCTGTGTTCTGGACCAAATGCTCAAAGCCTTCACGATTGAGCTCATTGACGAACTTCAACGTGTATGCGGTGCCCTCCGCATCAAAGCATAACCCCGAAGTGGCTTGCTTAGCCTTGTCCAGACTGCTGTAGTCCCTGAATAAGGCCGAGCCCCAAGCCCATCCATTGACGAATGTGGCCGGGATGCTGAAGGAGAACCCGCCCCTGTTGGCCTTCTGCTTCCCCTTGGTGCAGTAGCCATGAAAGGAGCTGGGGGTCACTTTGACTGGCCTGGCACGCATGATGTGCTGGTATCGCAGGACACCAAAGGTGACCAGCCAGCTGGACAGTAAGCCCCTCCAACGCGGGTCCTCTGCTTCGTACAACGATTGAATCTTCTCTTCAAGCGCTGCAATCATTGGGGGCTCCACTGCAACAGCCTGTTCTGGGTTTGCCTGTTTGGGTGGATTCTTGCGTGCTGGGACTGGTACATCACTGAAGTCCCATTGCAACCGACCATGTTTAGAGAACCACTTCAAGGAGTGAAAGGCTCGGTAAGGTCCAGACGTGCCATTCTGCAAGAAGCCGTAGAGGTCCAATGCATCCGGTGGGAACAGGCGGTCCTTCTGCTCCATGTAGGCCCGCAACTCAGCCCAGGACTTCAGGGCGTTCACCACCGTCCTTCCGCTTGGACAGGGTGTCCAGAGCGTCTTGCCACTGGGCGTACCTCTCAGGGGTCAACTCCCCTTGAGGACGCATGACCTTGGCTTGAGAAAAGGCCTTCCTCAATGCCGCAGCTCGCAGCAGCACATGCTCTGGTTGGTCTGGACCTGGCCGAACTCGAAGAGCTTGGACCATCTTGCTCTTCTTCATCATGGACGCCTTGGGCGTAGGCCATGTCGCTGGCCGGTCTCTGGATCCCGAGCTTTCAGCCACGGCAGCCGCTTGAGGGATGAGGTCAGCTTCGGCGGTCTTGGAACGCGCTTGCAACCACGCATCTGCCACATGGTGTCCTCCATGTGCCACTGCGCTGTCATAGGATGCAAACGCATATGCGAAGTCGGTCTCATCATGTAGTCCCCATTGAGCTCGCCATTGTTCAACACGGGTGGCTGCCACCCTCTCCATCGCCGTCTCTGCACAAGGTGGAGCCTCACCAGCAGCCTGCACCGCATAGGCTCCTGGGTGGTACGCCACGGCGACTCCTGAAACCACCGCCGCCAAGGTTTGGAGCGTACGGGCTGGGCCTGAAACTGCAGACCACACCTCAGTATCATCAGGTAACAAACACACATCACTAGGCCGCAGCTGCTGCAGATGGGTCTCGACGCAAGACGGGGTGACATCCTGGACATTGGGTGGACAGGTACTGCACACTGAGGAGAAACATCGCTCACAGAGCTCAGGTGTCAGCAGTCCACAAGCCTTGCAAGGTGGCAAGGGTTCCTCCCCAGCCTCCATGGCGCCGAGCCAACCCCATAACGACCGAACTGCTCTGGCCCGTGGTGCTCTCCACGCAACCAGGTCAGCCGGGATGGGCACCATGGATGGGTCTCTCCATCCTCGACGTGGGGACTGCCAGGTCTTCCAAACATCCCAAAGTTCGGTGAGGTCAACCATACTCTCGGCATTGTGCTCGATGAAGGCGACCAGGCCGAAAATGTTGTCTGGCGCAAAGTCCCGTGCTGTCCAATGAGTCCGCAGCGGTTCGATGAGCAGCAAATCCAGCTTCGCCTCGCCCAGGCGATCATAGTAGGATTGCCACGCAAGCCGCGGGTCACTCCCGGGCAGAGCCAAGACAGCTGAGCTGTTCCATGTGCCGATCCAAGGGAACTTGAATCCTCCCAGATACTCAGTACACCTCCTACAGTTCTCTTCCATGCAAGGTGACCGTCTGAAAGGGGGAAGTCCCTGCACCCCCAACCCAATTGGATGTGGGGGGAAATGATCAATTTGGCACACAGAAGCCCACAAACGGGTGGCCTCGGCCACCAAGCCCCGCTGGAGCAGGCCCTCCACGTGCGTCTTGAACTCGTAGTATAGGCAGCTGCATGAAGCAGCTCCGCATCCGTGTGGGCAGCCTCATTCCAACCGGGCCGAACGACGATGGAGGCCCTTGGCATCGAGGGGGTGACCTCCCACCTTCGTAACCTCTGTACTCTAGGGTAACGCCCTAGTAGAGGAACGAGAAACCACTGAACCTAGGGTAACTCCCTAGAAGTGGCGTGGGTACCCCAGCAAAAAGAAAGAACGATGAAGCCAGTTTGGCTCAGACTTGAGCCAAAATGGATTCATCAGCTTACATACTCACCCTAATGATAATGCACACCCAGTGCCTGCCAAACACGATGCATACATATATCGCTTTTCTGCTTTTCTTTGAATATTTTTGAGTTTTGCAAAGATTGTCAGCATACGTCAAGTTTCCTGCCAGTTCCGAAGATGCTTCAGTCAGCACCCACCTACGATCAGAGTCCAGCATGGCTCTTTCCGAAGCTGGAAAAGAGATCTGACAGCTACCTTGACTCTTGCAACGCAAAAAAGGAAAGGAATAAAAAGTAGCGTGGTGACTCACTAACAGATGCAAGAAGACAGTCTCAAGTTCTCAGATCTTGCGTGCTGTACATCTACACGAATCTACACTCCCTTTTACCGGCCTGCTCTTCAATCTCCTGCACACGCCTTTGAAGGCCAAGGATTTGTTGCTGCAGCGACCTCAAGATTTCTTTCTCTGATGTTGCCCCATAGAACCCAATGCCAACACCATCACATGTAAAGAAAGAGATAAATATACAAGCCACTTCGCAAATACGGTATTTTGTATAACCGATATTATGATAAGAATGTGCCAGTTTCGCAGTTCCACCTTTACATGGGAGATCATGCAGTGAAAAACAAGACAAGAACTTGAGAAACTCAGGAAACGCACGTCTTCTCTCCTTTCAAGGTGACAATCTGTTGCTGCAGACCTGCACCAATCAGCGGACCAAATGCAACTCAACACAAGACGCACAAGACGCACAAGACGCACAAGACGCACAAGACGCACAAGACGCACAAGACGCACAAGACGCACAAGACGCACAAGACGCACAAGACGCACAAGATGCACAAGACGCATCCAAAGGGACTCACCAACTTTGAGGGCGGTGCGTTGGTTCTCTGCCTTTTGTTGAACGAAGTGCCGCTTGACTTCATCCTTCCGCATTCCAAGGTGGAAACAGAAGCATAGTCAGCATTGTGCCCAGGGGCATTCTAAGCTAGTTTTGACATTCTTTGACGCATCCTTCTATCATCGTTTGCCACCGCAAGACAAATTGTATGCCAGTGTATGCTTCACCGCTTCAAATGTCCTGCAGACGTTGAACATCTCCAACCATAGTCTTCTTGAGTTCTTGCAACTGTCCTTGGTAGTGTTCCTGGCATTCAGAACAAAGCAAGAATTCCGCTCTTTGAAACGAGACCTGAACATCTCAAGTTACAATCTCTGATCTCTGCGCCTCAATGCCAGCTTTGTCTCCGCGAAGACTCTCAATCTCCTGCGGGAACTGCTCTTGCAAATTCTGATCCACACCGCTCTATCCCCTGCTTTGACGACTAAGTTCAAAACAGCTAAAAGCGGCCCTTTGCGGTTTTAAAAGGGACCACCCAACTCCACAAGCTACGCAAGCTAGACTAGCCAGCAGGCACTGGCAAGTAATTAGCTTTAGCTAGGTTGGAAGCGTCTCTTGCTGATGTTTTTGCATTGTGTCCTGGCGCTGTGCAGCAAGTTCCTCATTTTGCATAGAGATGAAGTCCTGAGATCAGAACAAAAGCAGCTCCATCAATCCCTTTTGAGCATCAAACCGATCAAAACTCTCCTCAAGAGCTGCCAACTTTCCCTTGAGCCCTGTTGGGGCGATGCTTCCCATGGTGGCGTCCATGGTGGCCTTGGCTAAACATCTACTCTCAGTGGCTCACAATCTGGGCCAAATGAGCACATTCCTCAAATGCTCAGAGCCCCACCAGGCGAACACCAGAAGAGCAAGGTCAGCGCTTTGATTTGCTTGGCTGAACTACTTGAAGAAAAGTGGGCATCGGAAGCGTTGGAGGTATCAAGTCTCCGTTTGCTGACAAGTAAGTTTTAAGTTTTAAGAATTACAAGACGATGTAAACTTCCAAGCATCGAGAATGTTCGAGCTCATTTTCATGTGGCCAAACTGTGTGACTGCCGTGCGTCACAGGAAGGCTTGGGCCACTGCTTCTCGCTGACAAAAGATCGAGCTCAGCATGCATTCCACATGGCAGAGCAAACGACCCTGGACATTGACAGATTTCCGGCTCAGCACAGCTGAGTCCACAGGTCGAGCAAAAATAGCCATGGGTGCTGAATCAGCAACTCCTATACACCAGCTTGTCTGGTACTACTTCGAGTGAAACGTCAACAGTCTATGCCCAGCGATGTCCCGACTGCCTTCTTGGCTCTTGTACAACTGAGTTCTAAAAGCGTTCATTCTTTGTGGCTATCAAGACTGCCGCAACATTCATGAGCAGAAGTGTCGAGCTTGTGTGCAGAGACTCCGGCTGCACATGCTCCATTAAAGAGCCCATATCAAAATGGATGTGCAGAGATAAAGGAGCGTCACAATCCGCATCTCAGCGCGCACTACAGATGTGTGGATCATGTGCAATCAAAAGCTGCCAACCAAGCCCTTTGGTGTCCACTGAGTCTGCTGTCGACCATGCTGAAACCTATCAAACACATCTGCAGAGCGCTGCAGGAGCTGCAAAGACTGAGCATTGGCGGCTGAAATCTCAGCGAATTTAGATTGCAAAGATTATTGCATGGCAATGTTGAACATCCCTTCTGAATTGACGTTCGTGAAAGAGAAACTTGAGGTCGCACAAATCATGTTCAACAAAAAAAGATAATGACTCGACAAGGTTGAGATTGGTACAGGTATCTTCATGCCAAAAGCATCAAAAAGCAAGCATATCAACAGAATTTGAAGAGCATCCATCTTGAGAAGTAGAACCCTCATTTCCAGTCAATGTGGTGCCGGACGGTAAAGCAGGAAAACGCCTGCATTTACCTCACATGTGAGTTCGCATGAGTTCCATTTTTGCAGTTTTCGAGATATATGATGATATATGGTAATATTTTGAGTGCACTAGAATATTTGTGGCAGGTTGTGCCTTATTTGTGTCTTTCCGTGAGCGAACTCACCATGCAAACCCCTTGGGCTTCAAAGACCTGCCAGCCTGAGCCTTGGGGTCGCTAAAAGAAAGCGTACCATGAACCTTGGCTAGTCTGGGCTTCGATTGTCCCTTTTGTGAACATCGTATATACGTTGGGCAGAACATTCGGAAGGCGTTTTGACCAAGATACTCACTTCATGTCCAAAAGAGCGTCGTCAATGACGTGCCAAAAGCTTGAATGACGCTCAACGGGTACCTCACCAGGAGAACTATCTGAAGGAAACACATAGAGCTGGGAGAATAAATGGATTGTGCAGCCCTCGCGCACTTGAAGTCGAGACTAAAGGTCTGCGGTCCAATCTTTCCATACCTTTGTGGCTCTGCGTACAGGCTGGACTGCACTGCAGCACGTACCGGGTTCAAAGTACAAGCAGAAACCATAAGACCTGTTCCTACTCACACGCAAAACGAAGCGTAGTAATTCAGCAACTCTTGAGCACAGCGGGCACAGCAACATACCGGTAGCACTCCAAAGCAGAAATGGAAACACAACCATAATATATTTGCTAGATACAATGTGTTTATATACATTGGTACACCCCTCAAAGCTCCTACAGGAGTTATGAAGTGGGAAAGTGAGATTCCTGAGTAACAAACTCCTCAACTTCGAGAAGCAGTCCCACAATAACAACGTGGTGTGGGGTGTGCTCGTCGCAAAGCGACTCGAATTACTAGTACCTTCAAGACAATGCCTTCCTCAGAGTCAAGAGAAGTATACAAGTTCTCAGGAAGTCATGGCCGGATGAGAGCTTGGTTTCCAACCGGCAATCCATTGCATCATAATAAGAACAGCAGTGTATATAATTATGTTTGTGTGTTTTGTGTCCATGATGTATGTACATGTTTTCGTCCCAGTTGTAGCTGTACAAGTTGTTCATATTTCCTACCCCACAAGGCTGCGTGCCCCTCCCCGCAGCAATACTCCCCTCCTCCTACTTCGAGCACTATTACTGCTACTAGTCCTCAACCTGCTGCTGCTGCTGGTAAGCACAAAGTGAGAAAAATGAAACACACCTTCCACGACATTCCCTTCCATTCTGTTGCATTCAATGGCATTCCATTGCGTTCCACTATGTTGCATTACGTTGTGTATGGGGATGTAATTTTTGTGTGGGTGTGTTTGTGTGTGCGCGTCTCTATATTAGTGCATGAGATACATTCAGATAAATGCTGGAGGTGCAGATGCAATTGCACATTTTCTTGCACAAAGAAGGCACTAATGTGAACACGTATCTATACAGACATGCATAGGTGGTTTAGGACGCTTTCAAACGTGCAGCCCAATGCATGGTGAAAACAGTTGTCATGAAGTTCGTCAAGGTCAACCTTTTCTGAACACCAAGCAATAAAGCACTAAGATTCATACTGGCAAAGAACATGGTCTGGCTTTTGCGACCTTGGGATCCACAACATTACAGCACAGATCAGCAAAGCAAAATGTGAAAAAAGAATGTCCAAAAGAAATGCACGCTGGCAGACTCAGGGACAAACAGCGCAAGCTGGAAGTTCTTTGCCGATGACGAAATATGACGGCCCTTGAAGTCCAGAACGAGGCTTTCAACCTGAAAATAGCTCGAGCAGAGAGAGGAAACGGACAATCTTCGCGGGAAGGGATGATGGTAAGCATCAGTCTTCTGGTCTGTTCTATGATAATGTTGCACTTTGGGGCCTCAAACGAAGCTCTTGCGTGTAGTGCGGTCGCTCTTGGCAAAAGCCCAAATCCAGGGACAACCATCTCTCCGAACGAGCCTCCTCATTCCAAGTCGGCTGCTTGGTGACGAGTTTCTGAGCCTGCAACAATATCTGGCTTTTTGTTCAAGGCTGAACCCATCAAGTACATCTGCCTTATCGTGTGAACTTTTGTTTGGTTCCCAGGTTCATAACATCAAACAAATACATCCTAGAGAGCTTGCGCAGTGTGACAATCGGTGCATTTTATCTTGGATTCTCCACATGCTGCCAAAAAAACAGCCTCATGGCTGTCATCGATTGGCTGTGAGAGGTCTCCTCTGCCAAGGAGGGGGCACCAGACCTGTCAAAAGCTTGGCTTCATCAGTCATTCACAAACTTCGAAACAATGGAACCTTTTGTCTAACATGCTTTCCTGGGAGGAGACTGTACGATGCAACATGTTGGTTTTGATGGTTCAACAGAGTTCTCAGGTTTGTGCAACTCGGCCCCCATCCGCATAGAGACCGGGCACCTCAGAAGTGTTCAAACTTTCCCAAGATGGACTCAGATGTACTTGTAGTCACCTTATGTCACCTTACTGAGGTTCAAACATGAATCTCCATGCAGTTGAAGATGCCATCGCCAACAGGCTTGCGGTGATGTCGAATCCAAGCAACCTGTGTCATTGCCACCCTGTGTTATGTGGAGCTCTCGGCAAGGAATTGGTTTGCGTTTTGGCAAGACTTGCTATTGTCCTCCATAGTTGTCTGCAGATCTTTTAAGGACACAATCAATAATCTACAATTTCATCATATGATACTGTTGCGTCTTTTCAAAAGATGAAACGCCTTGTTGACACGTATCTAGAATCTAGAAGGATCCAGGGCATCTGACACAACAGCTTACGAATCCCTGGTCTGTTGATGTTTGTCAATCGACAAGATTCTGGCCTGCTGCTTGCCGTAGCAGGAGCAGGTTAGATGCTTTGGAGAAAACCTGTCATTTGACTCTGTGCTTCGACAAAAAAAAGCAAACGAGGTACACGTACTAAAGAATCTTAAGAAGCGGTACACAGCGACCTCTGAAGAGTTGAACCAGATTGAACTTGAATGATGTCTGAATTTGTGCGAAATATTTGCCCATTTTGCCGGAAGAAATTGCTGCGCGAGGATGACCCAAAGGGTAGCGGTTTTAAAGCAAGCGAGTTCTGCACTTGTGCAAGTTGCCCATGCCCATATCTCCGCAAAAGAATGAAGGAAAGCTAGGTGGACGGAGCCCGGATCGCGCTGTGAAAACAAGAGTTTCACGAGGAAGAAAACCTGACTCTATGTTGGACTCATCAAACAACACCAGTCATGATACTGATAGAGGTTTCGATACCTGGAGACTTGCCACGGTGCTCCTGGAGTATGCATATGAACTGTAGTGTGAAAACTTAAGTGGTGAAGACATGACGCTCCGAAAACTGTTCGCACATTAGCAAGCACGGTAGATCAAATTATATAGCTGCTTAGCATCTTGTCATTTGTGTTGATGGGAAAATGCCCCAGCTTGTGGAAGCCGTGCAGAATCAGGTTGTAGAGAGTTTGAGAAACGACATTAGCTTCTTAGCATCAATTCAGCGGTACTCCGCTGATTCAAATGTCTTACTCTAGACAGTCTCGGCAAACAATACGCTACGAACGCTCACGTGAAGTCAGACACGCAACTTTGGAGCACCGTGTAACAAAGCAATGCCAGGACCACTGGCAGTTCTCGCATCTCTCTTGTACAAGCCGCCACTCCGTCCTTTCCTGAAACGCAAACCATGTCTGACTGATCTGAAGTAGCATCCCATTCAAATGTCTGCTTGGATGAACATGTCTTGGAGTACCTTCTCGTGTTCAGCCTTTTGAGGGCTTGGGTTCGAACGTTGTTCCATGTCATTGCAAAGGCAGGCCTTTGTCAGACCGTGGCAAGCTGTTTCACAGGGCATCCAATGTGGCTCGACTTCCAAATCACTTCTGACACAAAGATGAAAATCTGTGTCTGTGAGCCAGGCTTGTCTGCATTGAAGAGGTTTACTCCTTTGTCGCTCGGGTTGTAGAGGTAGAAGGACATCTTTCGAGCCTTGTGCACAATGATATGATCTACTTGCGGTATCTTGCGGTCATCAATATCTATGATCTGCATTTGTCATCATGTTCTTGCTGAGCTCAGCTACCTCCAGGTCTGCTCGAGCATACATCAGGAAGTCCTGTCAAGGCATTCAGTGCGGTGATCTACGCTTTAAAGCGCCTGTGAAACAAAGTCAGAAGTTCCAACACCCAGACACACTAGTGACACACTGAAGATAGACATAGTCGGACATAGAGATGGCACATGATGGCGCAAAGCTCTGAATCAAGTCTCGTCTGGCTCACCCCATCGTCAGAGAACAAACGGTACTGCAGTTTGTCCTGCGGGCAGACTGGTTTGAAAAAACAAACATGCAAACTGTGTAAACATTCCACAGGCAACAAGATCCACAAATCAAGAGACTGATACATCACATCAGCATACACTGCCACAAGTTGTGTGCAAGACCCTTTTTTGCTCGCAGATTTCGCCCCGCTCATGCGGCCACTACATCCCAGTGTCAAGAACAGATCGCTTATCTCCGTTGCAAAGGTCGCAGTAGGCGAAGAGATGTTGACTTTCCAACGTCATCAAGCACACCTGCAAAGTCTCTGCAAGTAGAAGATTTCAGCTGGATGAAAGCCAAGTCTGCCGGTGTGGCATCTTGTGGCCCAGCCTCATCAAGATAGTGACCGAGTTTAGAGGCCGACAGCTTGAGCTAAAGACTTTCAAAGACTTTCAATGGAATCCTCTTTCTCTACCTGCCGGGCACAACAATGGCAAGTTTCGTTTCACAGCACGCAAAATAGCGAGTATGAGCAAAAGCCTAGATTTGTCTGAACTGAATCAAGAAAACCACGGCGCGTTCATTGGTGGACTGCTTCTGGTCAAACTGTCTGTAAGTATCACAGACACGTGCATGTCATGCAGGAAGGCACATCCAGTTTTGAGCTGCTGAGCCTCCACAGAGCCTTCTGCAAGCGAGCCTTCCGACTTGAGATTCTTGAAATTAAATGTTCCTTCACAAAATGTCATAAACAATCATACAGAATATATACTGAATAAACAATCATAAAATATCATAAAATTATAAACCTCTTAGTTTTAGTCCGACAATTGCAATTTTCAAAATTGTCAAACCTTACAACTTTTCCTTGAGAATCTGGCCCAGGCGTTCTTTCTTTTGGGTGTCCGGAGGTGAAGGAGGTGGCCTGCAAGACCAAGATCAAGACCGACACAAACCGCGGACACGTCGGATACGTCCAAGCTTCCGTCACAGTTGGTTTGTTCGGTAAATGTCTTGAATACTTGAACACATGGAGATGGAGGAAAAGGTACAAAACCAAAAAGAAACCGACAAGACCACAAGGTGTATGCAAGTATGGCATTGGTCACAGACAAGATTAGCTCCACACGTTGACCGTGAAATCGAAGATGAGAATGATGGTCGCTCGAGTCTTCCAGAGCCATGGCCTTGGCAGCTGTGAATAGCTGCGAATAGGCGAAGAGCTGTGAACCGCTGGGAGAGATTCAATTGCACTTAGTGGATCTCAGTGGTATTTGTCATGCTCAGTGAAACTGTGTTCCACAGTGAACTGCCAAATCTCAGAGCTCTGCGTACCAGAAACTGCAAACGTTGACCAAGAGATCCAAGAGAGCCTCTGCCTGGCATGCCAAAGTGTTTTTCTCACGCGTTTTTTCTCAAGCTGATCCATTGGTCAAATGAATGTCTGTGATGGATTTGATCTTGAACCTTCTTTTTATTGTGTCATCAGGGTAGGCAACTACTGTATGGTTGTACGTTTGCTATGGAAATGAAAGTACTAATCAGGACTAACCTGGCAGTGGTCTTGGCATTTAGGGAGTCAGCGCATGGTGTTACATGGTTCCCAGCGGTTGCTCCTGTCATCCGCGGCTTGTATGGCGATTGAAGCGGCCGCATCTGCGTCATCCACACTTGAACCGAACGAATCAAACAAACAGTCCGAAAGTTCTACGGAATGTACATGTGTACATTGGTACAACATAATTTACTTGCATAACTACGGGGATTGAGATTGGACAAGGCCTGCACCCGCAGTCGCACATGACCAGTAGGCTTCTTTCCATAACAAATTTGAACCCAGAGGTCCTACAGTGTGCAGCTTGACGAAACTAAAACCACAAATCAGAACCCATTTCTGGAGAAGATTCCACGTGTATGCAACAAATCACAATGGACGCTCCTCCATTGCCAGTGGTTGACTGATAAGCTCACTTAGCGGATAGGTAGCAGACCCGACCTGTTGGTTCAATAGTTTAGGGAGTGAATTCAACCAAGCGGTCAGGTCAGCTGCAACCACCGCATTATTCGCATTGAAAAAAAAAAAATCAAAACCAGGAACTCTTCGTGACAAGATACTGACACAAAGCTAACACCATTTACAGTGCCAGTTTTTGATTGCAGTAGCCGCATCACAATAAGACATGTCTAGACAGCATGAAAAAGAAACTCGGAAGCAAAACGCAGTGCCTTCTCGTATCTTGCACTTTTGCTCTTGGATCTTCCTCGTTCTGGCCTGGCCGTGTTGACCGAGAGAAGATGAGATTCACAGTCCCTGTGACTCGAAGCTTCAACTGAGGCACCTCCTGAGTTCAATTTCGACTTCCAGCTTGCGGATTGCATCAGATGAAGCGTCTTCATCCAACAACAGGCAAAACCTTGCATCAATGGACAGTGCGCTTACCCAGCTTATCCTTGGGTGACACATAGTGAGATGATGTGAGATGACTCAGGACAACACGGCTGCTTCCACACTGCATCAACACCTGGGGATTTCCGAAAGCAATCACAGGTATCACAGGTCAAGTGCTGAACAGGTCAAAACGTGCTGAACGAATCCACCGACTCAGCTCCCAGCCCCCCGGCAAGGAACCCTGCTGCAGAGCTCTGCCAAGCAGAAGTCTCCAGGCCTCTGATAAGTCTTGTGATGAGTTATATGACTTTTGAATACTTTTGATATTTCATGATATTTCATGATATTTCATGATATTTCATGATATTAAATACTTCTGATGACACAGCATGGTACAGCATAGTACAGCAGGGATACTGCGGGGACTGCAAGATCAGATTTGTGGAGGGACACAACAGAAGCCTCCTCGGGAATGCTTCCGAGGACGTACCTTTCAACATCATCAGCATTGACTCCTCCGACGCCTGAGCAATACTGGACACGACAAATGACTACCTCTGACTACCTCTGACTCCATTCCAATCCATGAAACAGATCCTGTTGATCCATGCAGTCCTGCTAAATGTTCCAGAACTCCAAGGTATCTCCACTCCTCGAATCGAACGCAGAGCAAAAACTCATGTCTCAGCCCCACCGAAGAAACCAAGGTCTCGGTGTGTCCAAATACGTTTTGTCCAAAAGCTGAAAACGCCGACGCATCGAATTTATGTCGTGAGTTTGACATAGTTTGACAAAATCCATCAACTTGAAAACACCCGCGCCTGATATCCATGACGAGCTGGGGAGGCAGCAGGAACAGCCGAAGAGGTCTGCTCACAAATAGCCGCGTTGAAAGGTCTCCTGCACAAATCTCCCAACATAATCCACAAGCTCAGGAGCTGCGGTAATTTTGGCTCAACTATGAGGCGGCAGGCGTGTTTGAATCAAAGTGTGGTGCACCAAAGCAGCGCCTCACTGATACCACTGCCCATATTTCTGTTTCGTCCTGCTGGGCAAAATTATGAATCGAACGGCCGAACGGTTTCAATTTCTTTCAATGCTTTTCTTGGTCGGTTGCTACGCAGAACGAATCTGTGTGGTGGAACGCTTTGAGCCCTCACATGAGTCTGTCTCCTCAACTCCTTGCAGACCAACAGCATGAAACAAGTCCTTCAGCGAAGTGCGGGTAAAACATGGTGAAACGAGAATGTGAGGTCAAGTAAGATCAAGACTTCACCTTTTCAAAAACAGTCCAAAAACATGGCTTGCAAAAGTTGTACATTCTGTATCAGCTTACTGGATTGTTGGCAAGAGAGACCAGTCAACTCTCCAAGTCACTGTGGTAAGTAAATGCAAGAGAATCAATCTCTCTCTCTCTCTCCGTGCATCAAAGATGCAATGAAAAGCAGCCAGCTGCTTGCATAAGGTGATCCAAAGGTCCAAGTTCTGTCTCCGACCATTTGGTCCAGTGTGTGCATGGGATTAAGTCCCTCTTTGGCCAATTGTCGCCTTGGGGCAGCTAGAGTCTGGATCAGAAGAAGGTTCCTTCAAGTTCCCTCATGCATGCTCGGTCTGGGTAGGTTCTATTCAATATTCAATTCCAAAAAACTCCATGAAAATATTAATTTTGTTTGGATGTTTGTGGCATGATCTGTATCAGCTGCAGTGTCTGTGTGCTTAGGCTCTGAGGAGGCTAAGCGTTGGACCATTGCATTTGCAAGCTGCCAGTTGCCGAGCCAAAGCTCAGAGGCAGCTGAAAAATGTGGGCCTCTGCAGTGAATTTCACCATATTTCACTCGTTCTCACCCTATCAATGTCTACTCTGTAGTCTTGGTAGATTCATTGCATCATCGGAATATCAGATCAATATCAGATCAAGTCCGAATGAAAAACTAGGACCTTCTAGGACTAAAAAGCAAGGTCCTTGCCTCCTCCTCGGAGGGGTCTTTCAGACCTGCACACGTTGTGGCGCTGCGCAGGACGACGTAAAATCTGCTCTGTTTTGTGTACGTGTCCAGGTGCCTTGCCCGGATTCAATCACATCCTTCAAACAAATGACCACCAGAGGAGTGTCGCCTCACTTCAATGACCGAATTCAGAGGCTGGAAAGGGAAAGGAGGCAAGGAGGAAAAGATGGATAAAGGAACTTGCAGGGAAACGAGCATAGGAAGTATTAATTCAACAACCACAAGACTCAACACATTTGTTGCTGCCAAGAATCTGTTGTTGGCAAAAACGCTCACAGACCTCAGACGAATCACAGAATATCACAGGGAGAACGTGACACGCTGCAGACTTTGGGGCTGTGAGCGGTCTCTCAGGCTCCAACTGCTGGTCAAAGTCATGAACCACGAAGTCCACGATATCACCAGAGGCACAGTTCTTGCGACAAGCTCCCAACGACACCTGTCTACATGTCCGTCTCAAGACTCAGCGTCGTCACAAGATTCACAAGCCTCAGCCTCCTCCTCCTCCTCCTCCTCCTCGTCCTCGTCCTCGTCGTCATCGTCATCGTCGTCGTCGTCGTGGTGGTGGTGCTGCTGGCCATCACCAAATCTGGATTCTTGAGAAGACAGCCAAGCCTTGCCTTTGAGATTTAACCCAAAAAAACTAGGGGTCTGGCTTGCATGGAGGTCAAGTTTTTTGGAGAAGAAGACTCAAATAGCCATGACATTGAAGCGCTCAATGAGGCATAGCTGGCATAGCTAGATTCCTTGGTGCAGCATGACGGCAAATGTGCAAGCCATATATCTGCACTTTTGCAAGTGGAAAAGGTACTCTTTCAGCCATTGTGGGTGGTGCGATGTCGTACGTCTTCAAACTTGCACAAATTTCACCAACATTGCTGAACCACAGAAAGCCCAAGTTCAATCCAAAATGGAATGTTACGTGCAAGTTACAAGCGATATGTATAGCAAGTTACAAGCGATATGTATAGCATTTCAGCTTTAGTGTCAGTAAAACCTCAAGCAAAACAAGCACCCCAGTGATGATCAGCTGTCATACAACCTTTTGCAATCACCATGACAATCCCTTTGATACAAATCTGGAAAGACAATGAAAAAGATTGAAAAAAATCTACCAGACGAACAGATTACCAAGCCACCTCCTGAGGCTCCTCCGGTGGTGCTTGAACCTGCACGTCACTTCTCACATCCTCTCGATTCTCTCTCATTCTTTTCTCAACCTCTCCCTACTGAGTTGCAAGCTGTTAAGATTGTGAGAGTATGTCTAAAATTGTCTAAACATACATGACATACTTTCTACCACATGACATGGTGCCTCTATCTGAGTTCTCAAGACTCCACGAGGCCGAGGATGATGCAAGCGGAAGTGATCAATGCCTGAAGCACCGTGTCCAAAGTCCCATATTTAGCAAGATGAAAATGTTGATTTATTACTGACTGCAAGAATTGCAATGAGCAAATGTGATCTTTTAGCCTCAATCTGATGTTTTTAGGAACCATCCGACATTTCAAGATGCGTTTTGCTATGGCGCTCCAAGCCTGAAGCTGCTTCCAGTACCAGCCGAGAGGGCAGTACACAAGCACTTGCGACAGCTTCCTGCAGCACCTTGGACCAATAAAAAAGAACGAAATTCATCGAAATTCTTCGTCTTAAAGCAGAAATTACTTCAGATGGCTTCATTTCTTGACTATCTGTGTCTGCGATTACTTCTTAATTTGGCGCAGAATTCGACAACCCTGATGTCATCAGTCCAGTTCCGAAAGCCAGCGGGGAGCTGGCCTTAAGGACTCTGGTCTTGACCATCGAAGCAGTGTCACAGAAAGCATCGAGCACAAAGACTTTGGCATCAATGGTCAAGTCAACCTGTCAAGAGTTCAACCCTCGCAAAGAAACTCCATCTAATGTCTTGGCTAATTTCTTGGTAAAAGGTATTGGTGAGAGGATTCGAACCTATTTCACATCCATGAGGTCAAAACATGACATTGATAGCCCTAGTTTTGGGCCGTGCTGTCCTCTCTGATCCCAGCCTCCGTATCAGACTGCCACTGTTGGTCTATACTGTATTTTTTTCATATTTGTTTAATAAGTAGTGCTGCCTTTTTGGCTGATGCAAACCCTGAAGATGCGCACATTTGGAACCTGTTTTTGTCACCTGTTTTTGTGGTGGTTTCAATGTGCCTGTTGGACTCTGAGTAGCAAGGCTAGGTGGTGCTGTTTTGTTTCTGACCTGGCCCTTTTCGTGTTTTCCCATGGTACACCTCTCGGTTGCCCTTGTTTCACTCACGCACGATGGTCGCTTCTGCCCTCTGAAATAGCAATACATTAGCTGATAAATGCTGCTGATCTCGTTCTGATGGCATCTGATGCAAAAACCCTCCTCGCTTGTGCCTCGGGCATGTCTGGGAAGTAGATGCGAACACACTTGAACCATGGTGGCAAATGTGTCAAGTGCGCAAATTCAACCACCTTGGTCCCAAGTGCAGCTCTTGAAAGCAAGTCGAATCTAGTCAAGTGACGCTTCAACGGCTGATGGCTGAGCAAGTCATCACAGCGACTGTCTGACTAAGATTGCATCTTATGCATCTTAGCTATTCACAATCTTCCCCCGCAACTTGAGCTTCGTCAGGGCTACATGACCCATTGCACCACCTTCCAAGCGCAAATGTTCGATGCATGAAATGTGACGACTGTCAGGATCGGAAGCAAATACCCCAAATGCGAATGTTTAAAGATGTTAAAGAAACAAACCCAGACTGGAAAGACTGTTTTGGAAGCCTCTGCCAGCACGGATGCCAACTGTGATTTGACCATCGCCCGAGTAATCCTTGGTGAGAAGCGCAAATGCTCCCAACTTCTGGGTGTGCTCCGCAACAGTAGTTGGAACCACTAAACTTTCCCTTCACATCCCTGTCATAGGTAAATCTCTGTGCGTACATGATTCCAAATCAGCTGCACATCTGATCGTCTTGAAAACGTCGGTTCCACACTCCTTCATGCAGGTCTTATGATGCTAGGATCGTCCTAACCCAACCCAATGAAGACGGAAATTGAATGAACTTAATTATACCGTACCTAGTTATACCTAGTTATAAGAGTGTTACTTCAGTGTTACTTCACAAGCTTCACATTCATATCCGTTGAATATCGTTGAACATTTGAGGACTTGAAGAGCTCCTCCGAGGACGTGGAAGAGGTGATCCCTTCGAGGCGCATGGGAGACGTGCCAAGACCAATGTCCTCACGGCCAAGAAAGCTTCGTGATGCGGTGATGCAAGCGGTGGCAAGTCTTCGGCAAGTCTTCATTGCTTCGCATTGCTTCGCATTGCTTCGTATTGCTTCGTCCTCGAACTCAACAATATCCATCAGCTGCTCTTTGAGCTGCGGCTCCAGCTCAGCCTGGCACACGAGTCTCACATCGGACACGTTCTACGAACTAAAGTAATTCAGATTAATTCAGCATACTTAAGATTAGTGAAAGATTAGATAGCTACCTTCAGTTTGCGCTGAAACCACTCGGAGATGGAAGGCCAGAGTCTGCCGATGACCTAAGCGCAAATGAGGTACAGCATGGTACAGTCTGAAAGGCTTGACGCCAGGCATGTTCAGTACATACCCAGTTCAGCAAAGGCACATCATTCAAAAGCTCCTCTCCGTGCCACAAATCAGTGATCTCCTTTGGCTCTGAACTCTGGGCCTGTCAATGTCACATGTGAACGGGAGATGTCAAATTCTGGGAGCTAAGATGGGACTGGCCTTCTCTGGAAGTGGGGCACTTGCTCCAGGAGTGCAGGCTGTAACGCATCCTGCACCCAGAGTCTTGGAGAGCAATACTTCCAATGGTTGATGGATCGTATGGCAATATGAAGGTTAGACCCAGTATGACCAAGTTATATCATGTTCTATGACTTTTTATTACTTTTTGAAAGCATGTGTCATGCTTCAGCATGCTCATGCCGATCATGCCTGCACAAGCACCACAAAGGTTGACTGCATGCCGCGCGAGGCGCGCTAGAGGGACGCGGAAGTTCCAGGTCCTCCAGATTTCACACATTGCTTTATCCATTTGATTCCATTTGATTCCATTTGATTCCATTTGATGCCATTTGATTCCATGTGTCAATCTTTGTGGTTGGAATCTTTCTGTGTTAGCTGGTAAGAGGCTGCAGAAAGCTCGTGGTAATTTCGCCTATTTCTTCAGAATTCTGGCAGTACCTGAAAGAGTGTGCTGGCGCCAATTCACTCAAAGCCAGCTCCTGCGACGGCTTCTCGTTCGCTGAACCTCCATCCCGTAGCGGCAGCTTCATCAGGCAAGATCTTGTGTACATGTGCTGCAGACAATGAGATAACTCTCCAACAAATGTAACAAATGCACAAATGGAGCCGAGAACATCCGAGAACAAGGAGTTCAACTCTAGGCATCAACGATATCGAGTTGTTTGAGGAGTCTTTCAGTCACAAGAAGGAAACAACATCACTGACTTGAAGACAAGACAATTAAGACAATTAAGGATGTTGACGTATGCAGCACTGATCCACTCTCCAGCTTTCAGCGACTGAAACAGAGGTTGAAGCTGATGTCACTGGCACGGTGAGCGAAGAAGCAAGAGAACTAGCTGCAAACGGTTCCGGTTCAATGCGAGGAGGTGACTGGCCAAGAGTATATGCAAAGCATTGCTAAGCAGCTTCTTGTCAGACTTTTTTCCTCGAGTGGCAACACGTGTGCCTGCAGAACCTCAGGACCAGCTCCCAATCCAAATGAAAACTTGAAACCTCTCTGATTCAGTGTTGCATGGCAGTCTATGCCCTCGACGCTTTAGACTTGGTACCTCACTCCATGGGTTCAGAAAGCTAAATGTAGCGGCTTCATGCAGCTTCTAGAGTTGGGCATTGCTGATGTAGCGGCTTCTAGCAGTTGGGCATTGCTGTTCATGGCTTGGGCACCGGCGGAGCAAACCTAGAAAACCCGCCAGCTCCGAAACCAGCTTGTGCTGCCAGCGTTGCCTTGGGCCACGTAGACCGATTCAAGCAAACAAAGCATCCAAATCCTGACATTCTCGTGCCCTTTAGATCCTTTAGGCTTTCTCGGTTCCAAAAGCGTCAGCAAACTCATGCTGACAACAAGCAAAGATAATCAACTCATAGCCCTAAAGGTGCTATGGATCCTGTATGGCTGTATGAACTAAGGACTGAATTCTCAGATGAAGTTAAGTTGGACTACCGCAAAACCGCGGCCGCAAGGCCTCAAGTATATAAAGGTTTACTTGTTTGTCGTAGTATTGAAAATCCACCCATCAAGTAGGAGACACGCGTGTCAGTTCCTTATTCCAAGAAAGGTATCAAGGTGCACCTATTGAGGCTCACCCACAAATGGCATTGTTGGAAACATCTTTCATTCTTGGATAAGACATTGCAAGAGTTGTACAAAAATCCATGGTCAAATCGGCAAATGCCTGCAGGTTCTGGATCCGAGATACTCAGTCCAGCCAAAGCATAAAAACAATTATACAAAAAGAAGCTACAATTACAAGGTAGATAAGCCAGAAAACGCGGACAACACAACCCTCAAAGTCTGGAAAAGGGATAACCTCTGAAGAAACTATCATCCCTGGGCCATCACAAGGTACTCCAACAGTGAACTGCTTTGGTCTTCGTTTTTTGCCACAGAAGGCATTGTTACTTTACCTCCCTCGTCTCAACGACTTCTGCTCAAGTCCTATCATCCTATGTATTGCCTTGAGGCCTGCACAGCTTTGCCGCTACTTTGAGACCTGACACAGAGACACTTTCCTGAAGACATTCAATGCACAGCTCAGGTAGCGGAAAATGAAATCAGGCCGAGGTGGCTGGAAGTATGTCACCGTCACTGGTGCGGTCATAGATCCAATCCTTGCAAGCGACGAAAGGACAATGGATAGAATCTGTCTGTCTGCAGGGTCTTGTCCTGTCTGCTCTCTATGATTCTGTATGGGTCTGCATTGTCTCACATTCAAAAATTGTTCATCTTCGATGATTTGGTTCTGGAATCTTGGACACAAGTCACACGGCATTCAGAACTCTGGTCGCTGATTCGTGGTCTGATTCGTGGTGTCTGATTCGTGGTGTTTGATTCAGCCTATTGGCTGCAAGTCACACACACACAACCAAGGTAGGCCTGGGCTCATACTTCTGATGGAGGGCCTGGTTCAGGCTAGTGAACAGCACAGAATGAACCCAAGTTTGAGTTTGTTTTCAAGAAGCAAAACACAACCTGCGGACCAGTTCAAGCAACGAGTGCACGCGCCCTTAAAAACCCGTTGCATTCAGTGGTTCATCATGCTGTGATTGTGAAATTTAGTCGAAGGAAATATACAATAAATATCAATAAATAATGTTCGACATCACATACCGTATATCACTTTGGGCGGCCACTATTGCCATACACAGCCGTTCCATCACACAAGCAAGGCTACATCTTGGGATCGCATGTTGTTATGGACCCGGTTTCAGCCATCCACTGCCAGCCATTTGCGTGTCTCGTAAACGCACAGAGAGAAATTCACAGGTGCATGGGAAAGCAAGTGCGCTGAGAAGAGCATAGGTCGAACGGCCGCAGGCCTTCAGCGCAATCTCTGCTTCAGCAGGAGTGGCCTTGGGCTATGACAAAGAGCAAAGCTGTATGAGTATACGAAGTAAAACAATGCAACTCTCACAGACAACAAGACGTGTGCTGTCATAATTAAACTGGTGTGTGGTCAAAATGTCAAATAGTTCAAAGCTGCTAGCAAGAAGAGCAGCAACTGATGCTCTGAGAGCAAGGCTGACAAAACAAGACAACAAGAATCTGAGATAGAAACCATCTCCACAAATGCACATGCACTGCCAAACTTGGACTTTCCAGTCATCACCTCATTTTGGAGCAGTTGACTGTTGTGTCTTCGAGTGGAGAAACACCAACACCTGGTCCAATCGCTGACTTTGAAATTGTCTTGGCCGATCTGTAAGCCAGGGAAGCCACATGCACATTCACGACTCTGCCCCACTCTCCAAACACTTGGCTAAGCCTTGGCATCGTCTGAGTAGACATGGAAGGACAAAGGCGTTGCACATCATAGCACAGTCTGAGTCGAAGAACCGAGAGTCACGCCTTTCCCTGGGTATTTCTGCATGCAAGTTCCCAACGAACAGTTTGCCTCAGATTCTGATGGTCAAGCGCAGTACGGTGGCTGCTGTCGCTAGTGTCGCTGGTATCTGGTCTTGCAGCAGTGAAAGTTCATGTTCGCTCAAGGCCCCAGCATCGGGTCTTTTCCGCAACGTAGGAAGCTGTTGCAGATGCTGCCTTAAGAATGCGGACTGCGCGGAACCAAAGCAGTCAAGCCGAGCCTTCCAAGAGCATTCAGCAAGCAAGCAAACAGTGGAAAGCCATCTTTGCACTGAGTCAAATACCAGTTGACCTCCACTCGAAAAGTTTCCCTCAGGCTTTCACAGCGCTCCAACACTTTCTCTGCCATGTCTTGCTCACTGCTTCGTTTCACATAGACTACTTGGCTACGCAATCCCTTCAGACTCGCCTTGTCGGCGGCAAGAGCTACCACCTGCCCAGGCTACAGTTGGAAAAACAACGATTCTCTCTGGTCTTGTACAAGCACTTTTGTATGGTCCATAGGCTTTCAGCCTTAACCTGCACAACCTTCATACCAGATGTGCCCCATCCATGCACTTGGTAAAATCACACTTCTGTTGTCCGCAGTGACCAGCTCTTGCACAGCAACACATCTGCCACTGGTTTCACATCAGTACGAGCCTGATCCTCTGCCTGTGGGAGCATCAAGCCGGACCTGCAAACACAAAGCTCTGCAGAGAGCCGGCGATGGAGCAACAAGTAGTTGACTAAGGATGATGCTGCACAGGATCAGGCAAGGCACCAGGTCGCGCAAGCATCACCTCGGGCCAATTCCCTCGAGAGCTCGTTTGGAAAGTTGTTTCCACCTGCTGGAAGAAAAAAATGGAAAAAAACATGAAGAAGCAAGACTGCTGAGAAAGCTGCAGCCAGAGGCTCAGGAGATGAACTGCCTCGACTCGTATGCATTGTAACGGGTGGATGGCATGTGGACGTGCCAGCTACAGGGATCAAGGAGGTCAAACTTAAGCATCTTAAGCAGAACAAATGTTCAAGAAACAGGAAGTTGAAACAAATGAAATGCAACGAATCCCCCGACAACTGACTATAACGGTGGTGGTAGAGGAAAAACACCAAGGAACCCTGCAACAAGTCGGACAATGAAGTGTCACACGATAGGGGCATTGACAGTATCAAGGACTCAAGGAGACCAAGTCCAGAGATGTCACGTAATTTTGATTTACAATTTGATCAATTTGGCAAGACCATCACCTTCAGGAAGGAATGAAACATTGGCGAGAAACGTGGACGGTAGACACCATTGAGCGCTCTGATAGCAGTTGCAGCTGCATCAGCCTGATGCTTATCTCCACCGCCCGACGAAAGGGAATGTTGCACATACTGCAAGAGCATGACTCTTACACAGCAATCAAACACACTCAGAAAAGAAGTACTTGGTGCAGAAAAAATATGCTAGGCGCACGGTGCTGTAAGTGATGAAGGCACAGGCCTTGCAAAATCTTGCAAAGAACTGCTTGAATTCAGATTTGTGAGTGTGTGAACAGCATAGCTGTGTTGCTGCTCCAACAGGCTCTGTAACAAGTTCAGATTCAAAACCTCCCACCTGCCAGTCTGTCTTCTGGCCTTACGATGAGGAGACTCTTTACACACTCAAGAATCGATGCCAAGACAAAAAAAAAATGCTCATGGTCTGCCAAGAAATAAGCAAGGAAGGGAAGCAGCAGCTGAATCACATGTCAATGTAGTGACAGTGGTACTGGCTCAAATTGAAGCCAAGTCTTACAGTTTCCAGCACCCAAAAATGTGAAAGACATTCTTTCACAAAACTTATCCTAGTCAGGAACGCTTTGCAAAATGGCCCCACACTGATGGCTACATGCCAACATGTTCACAATGTTCACATTGTTCACATAATCAATTCTTTAACGCTTTGTCAAGGAGCGATTGGCCAGCGAAATCTCCAAAGGCGCCAAGCTGCCGTTGGCACCTGCATACGATTGCGGCATGTAACTGATGCCACTTTCCAATGTTGACAGCAGAGCCGTCGTAAAAAGAAACTACAAGAGCTATTTGGCAACATTTGGCAACCGGACAAAGGGTGGGCAACCCGGGCCACATAACGACCTTCAAGGCACGCTACTTTGCAGAATTCAAACCACAAGTCAGTAGTTGGACAAGGGCCCCGACATCGGCGCTTCGAACTGTGCCATACTTGCTGAAGATATACTTTACCTTTCGTCCATGCGTGTCTCCCTTTTTGAAAAGCCACATGTTTGGCTGCTTAGGCTTGCTTTTGAGCAAAGGTTGACAAGAGATGACAAGAGGTCCATGCAGGGATTACGAGAGGCGCTCGTAGCAAAAAACGCTTGTGACCACCAACGAAGCCGGCACCTCTTTCTCTTTGATATCTGCTGGCAAGTTTCGAACCTAAATCCAAAGGACTGGAAAAGCAAAGGCCGAACTCATGAAACAAAAACAGAACAAACTAGACAGCTGCAAATGCTGCACAGGAGCTGAGAGGTCCAGAAATGCTGGCAAGTTGCGAATATCTTGGCATCGGCAGGGGACATGGAACAGCTACCGATCTGACAGGCGTAAAACACTCTTGTTTTTTCTTGCCTGGTCTGTGTTGGGTATTCAGTAGTCAGTAGTCGCTTGACTTATGGATACGTATACAGCTACTAAAGACCCACTAAAGAACACATTTTTGCCTATATGTTACGCTACGTTTGACTATTTCAAGAATCTTGCAACGCAAACCATCATGAATTGTTCCTGTATGTATTCATGATTCCCAGCTCTGAGCCAAACAATTGCCCGCGGCAGGCCACAATTTGTTCTGCAAATGTTAGTGCACAAAATCCCAAGATCTGAGCAAAACCCCGGGTAGCAAATCCTGAAGTAGTCGGTCCTCTGATCGAAGGACATGAAATTTCCAGAGTTTGCTGGCTCGTCGCAGAGGATGCATGAACCTCAAGTACAGGTTTGATGAAGTTTGGAAAGTGCAAGAAGCACACCATCAAGACTGCACTCGACATCTTCAAGAGTTAGGGCCCACACTCCGTGACAATCTCGCGGGCCATACCCTGGAGGCAGCGTTAAATTGTTGGGCTTATTGCACATGAAAAAATGAATTGGTTTTGAAAAAGAAAAGGACACAAAGAGAAACTTCTCTCTGTGCTGATGCATCCCAAGACTTAGGGGACGACGTTCTCGAGGCTGTCTGCAATGTTGAAGGCACGCTCACGATCCCACTTGTCTTCATCCTCAAGGACCTGGTTACTGACATTTTCTTCGAGGATTTGAAGACTATTTTTGTTTGGGTCTTCGAGGATTTTTGTGCAGCTTTGCATTGCATTGCTTTGGGCTGTTGGCAAATTCTGTGCTGCGAATCTCTGTGAAATCGCTGCCTTTTTCTCGGGAAGCTTCGATGCAGATGATGCAGAGCTTCCTCAGATTCGCTTGACAAAAACCGAGACCGGTTTTGGGTTTGTTGATGGTTCCAACCCGGATTGTTTAACCAAACCTAACAAAATAAGAACCGCAACTAAAAGAACCTCGAACCAAAAAAAAACGTGTGCCAGTGATAACAACCTACCCCCAGGCCCAAGGCAAAAATAGATGAGCAGGATGCGAGGACAGCGTTCCAACTTACGATGATACCGAAAATCATGCATCGTGTTGACAGAGACACAGGCAAAGTATGCTGATAATGGCATGATGGCAATGATAAAAGTGGTAAAAGCATGATGACTGTTGCTATTGTGATGGTGATGATGATGGTGATGGTGATGGTGATGGTGATGATGAGGATGAGGATGAGGATGAGGATGAGGATGAGGATGAGGAGGAATTTCAGAGACCAGATTGACCATGGCACAAATAAGGTCCCTCACAGGGTCATGCTTCTGATGTTTTCTTGGCTACAAGGAATTAAGCTCCAGGTCAAGAGGCAGGGCAAAGCATAGAGAGTGGCTGAGTTGCAGTACACACACAGTCAAGCAGACCAGTTCGTTGAATCAAGCGGCAACATAAACATGGACAGAGATGCAAACGGGGAGACCCGCGGGTGTCCATGTGCGTGTCTCTTTGTGTATGTGTGCGTCTCTCGACATCTCAGTGCCTGAGAAACGTTGCAACCTACTTTAAGCCAAAGTCTTTCCGACTTCAGGAGTGAATCGATGTCTTGCATTTCTCGTCTCTGTTCCCACAACTCCAATATGATCATAGGCAAGGTGCCAACGAGGGATGAAAACCAAGTTGCAAGCGGACTTGCCTGTGCTTCGAAGTGCAGAAGTCAGAGCTACTTCGAAGCTGGAAAATTGCAGTCCATTCAACGACAATGGTTTCTAGCCTCGTCCACCGTCATGGTTTCTAGGAGGCACTGAAAGAGGAAGTGGCTTCTAACCCTTTAAGGGTTGAGGCACTATCTCGTACTTGCAGGGTTAGAGCCAAACAGTTGCACCAACGATAGCAAGAAAGGTACAGAGAATTGCCTCTGCAAATAGCTGTCAATTAAACTTATTTGAGTAATTTTGAATATATTATTGTTTTCATGCAATGACGTTCTCAAAGACATTGTGGGTAGAACTTCGGAGAAACAAATCAAGCAAACAGTCTCGCAAATAATTCGCCACAATTCATGATCACAGAGTCCATACAAGAAAACCCAGTCAAATTCTTTAAATCGTTCCATGTGATGCACATGGTGTATGAACAAGAGCTTAGAAGACGGTTGTGAAATGACCTTGGCACATATCTTTTCTCATGCTCCCCGCAGTGCGTTTTGGCATGTATCTTTCAGATCCATGTTGCTGGGACGAGGTTGCTACACTCATCCAGCGGCAAACCGATTCATGTCTGCTGGCTTTCTCTCATAGCGCAGCCTCGGAGTAGGACCGAGTAGGATGTTTTTTTTTGCCAGTTTCCGAGAATTGCTGGTACAAGTAAAAGTCCCGTCAATGCAAGGCCACTCAATCCTTAAGTTGCAGGCAACTCTGCATACTCACCCTGCTCAACCAAGTGAGCTTGCAGGCTAACCTGATCATATGGCATTCATGGAACATGTTTGAATCCCTACACTCTCACACTTTCCGCTTACAAAGTACCTGTCGCACGAGCTGGATTTCGAAAAAGAGAAAGACCTTGGGCAGGAACAGTGGGAGACAAAACTCAAGGGATGTGACTGTTGTCATTGCACGGGTGAAGGCCTAGCACCGGACAATGGCCCAGAAACCATATGCTGCATTGATGAAGCCACATACGAAGATTCGACCTTGCTTGGCCGGAGATCTGAAGTGATTCCTTCAGAATTTCTTCAAAAGCCTTGACGGTTTGTTCACAAATCGCATGTTGTTGCTGAGACTGCCACCAGACTGGAGGACATATGGATTTGCCAGGGCCTTTGGATCTACAGGTCTGAAGGACCGAACCATGAACCGGTGAAGGAGATTCCACTAGGAAACAGGCAGAGCACATGTCACTCCCAAGTGGAAGCCTGAGTTCGGTTGCCAAATTGGTTCACAAGTCCGAGTTGGACGTCATTATGTCCAGCATACTCCACCTAAAACTTGAACCAGATTTGAGAATCAGAAACCTCAAGGAGCAGAAGTTAGAGATCAGAACCCGACAAACATAGAATGAAGCAGTCGAAGGCAAGACATGCCACCTTAAGCGAAGCGACGCTTTGGCAAGATGCGGATTTAATTTGGAGCTCTTCCATTGTGCTGAGGAGGGAACAAGATAATGGGCAAACCGCTGGACCTCGTACCCATCATTTTGATTCCAAATAAATTTGAACGAACAACCAATCACTAGTATGCACGTTTAGTTGCTGACGTAATGGCCAAAGCCCCAATGCAAACCAAAGTTTGCCATTATGAGGACCGGGACCTCGACTGCATGGAAAAATGAAAGAAAACAGAAAAAGAAATGGTTTCCTGATTCTTCAGTGGTTTCTGAGGGGGTGTCACCAGCAAGTGCCAAGCATGTTGCAAACACCTGCAAAACATTCACTGCTGTGCACATCTTTGTATTTGTCTGTTTTTCATGGATAAACCAAAATCGAACTAAGTGGATGAAATATGTGTGGGATGGTCGAATGGTCACAGTCAGACGGTTGAATCGGCTTTGGCTGGTGCCTGCATGCCTCAAATTAAGCAGTCAAATTCAACACGAGACAATTTAATTTGGCCTGCAAATTGGCACCCAGTGAAGTCCCGGCAACCATCCTTTCATGAGGTCAATGATTCAGAGTCCAAACCAGAGGAAAATTCCCGAAGCAAGCAACCATGGTACGCATTGGGTTTGTGTATTTTTTTGAGATCGGGGCAGGTTTTGGTGTGCATCAACGGCACATAGGAAGGCGAATGCCCTCACAAACCTGACGACCACGAATTTGTCTGGCAATGGCACTACCGGACGGAAACTGTAAACTGAGGAAGACACGTCAGAACACTGGCCACATACCTAAATGTTCACTTGCGATGTCTATGCACAACGCTCAAATCTCTGCAGCACTAAGAACCCAAATGCGTTCGTCAAAAATGACCGTTTGAATGTTTTTGCAGACTATCCAAACTGCTGGGCAAGGAACACGCTGATCCCACTGCCGAAGCCTCAGAAATTCCAAGATCAAGGCTCTGCAACGCCTGCAATTGTTCGCAAACACCAAAAGACTTGAGTTTCGGACAATCCAACATGGTTGCTGAACTACGTTTGATTTCTTGGTGGGCTCATACTTCCTCTGAGCCAAGAGCTCACCATCCATTGCAAGACATTTTGCGGGCATGCAACTATGTGTGATCGCGTGTTTGTTCTAGTCTTATGCACTGATGGCATCATCACCCCAATGTTTTCCCAAAGAAGAAGGAGCGATTAAACTGTATATAAAGAATACAAACCAGAATGGAACATCCTCGGATTAAAAAATGGTAACCAAATGTTTGGTAGCGTTGCAATTGTCAGCAAAAAACAAATGGCGTGCGTTTGTCGAACAGATAGTACAACTTTTGGGCAACTTAAAACTTGCCAAAAAACAACATAATTGGTTTATAGACAAATGTTCATCCAACATTGACAATGCAGATCATTAAACCAAAACCAAATAAAATTCATGCAAATTGTGTTCAAATCATGCACACACATTCAAGTTGTCCGCTATTGTGTTTTCCCACGTCAAGCACTTGGTTAGCATCGGGTTGCTGGTATGTTTTGCGTTTTTTTTATGAAAATTTAGATGCCAAGCAGGAGTTTGCAAATGTATTTTTTGCATGTTTTTTGCCTAATCAAGGGGTGATTGCATCTTTCTTTCGGGCACACATCAAATACCGAGCGAGAATCACGACCCACAAGTTACATACAGGGATCTTGAAATCATGCCATTACAAATCCAGGCATTGAGGTTCCTCCATACCAAAAAACATTGAAACAAACTAAATTAACCTATTATTGCAGCACCGAAAGTCCCCTGATGGGGTGGGCATTCGAAAGGGATAATTTTCCCATTAATAATGCAGCCATTTTCCATCAAACACGGCATTACAATTTTTGTAGCAAAAGAATAGTTACCACATTGTGAATACATTTACAAATTTCAAGTGTTCAAAATGGATCATTGGTATACACATAGCAAGTCTTGGCGGAAATTGCGATGCTACAAACGAACAATGCCAATCTAAAAAAATTGTTCCTCAATCGCCCACGAAACCCAGCAACGTTGAACGGTCCAAATTCAATACCGCAACGACATGCAAAACAACGGCCAAATTCCAATTTTTTCACTGCCTGGCACACCAATGTGAATATGCCACACCATGCAACATGGTTTGATCACCCATTGTTTTTGCGCACTGCACAATCCCACAATCAGATCCAAATTCAGTCAGCACAAACCGTTGAACATCAACAACAACTAACAAAAATCATGGATATGTCCAAATTGATGTTTGGTTCTCACACATCCCACTGAAGATTGAACAAATCATGCACGCGACATGCTCCCCGACATCGCACAAGTCCATGTGCTGGAAAAGTAACCACCCAACTTGTGGGAACTACTAAGTAATCCCTTCCCCCTATTACTAACCCCCCAAAAAAAAATAAAAATAAAAGGACCGGATAACCCCACATGTGAAGCCTTTATGAATCTAAGGTTAATGTAAACTTCGGGGAGGTGTTATAGGTTAAGAGAGGTGTGAGAGGTGGAGCCGTGATGAGTTCGGATGTGATAAGTTAAGTGAGGTGTGAGAATGGGTGTGAGAAGTGGAGCTGTGATGAGTTGGGATGTGATAAGTTGTGATGAGTTGTGATAAGAAGTCGTGATGTGATAAGTGAGGTGTGAGAAGTGAGGTGTGAGAAGTGGAACTGTCATGATTGGGTTGTGATAAGTTGTGATGAGTTGTGATGAGAAGTGGACCTGTTAGAAGTGGAGCTGTGATTAGTTGTTACGAGCAGTGGAGCTGTGATGAGTGAGGTGTGAGAATCGGAGCTGTGATGACTTGGTATGTGATAAGGTGTGATGATTTGTGATGAGTTGTGATGAGAAGTTTTGATGTGATAAGTGGGTTCGTGATGAGTGGTGATGGTAAGTCTACGGCAGCGGAGGCGGGAGCAGGAGCGGCGGGATCCAAGTGAAAAACAAGAGCCCGGCACATGATACATGCAGCACACGAGCTCTTTTTTCAAGAGAGGCCGCGCAAGTTCAAGCGTCATCACTCTGCGCAGTGTAGGGTACCTGGCACAGGTGATGACGGGCCATGCCACCAGGATCCAGGATTTGGCCAAACAATTATCAGATACATTGACGGCTGCGACGGCATCTGGGGAACTCAACCAGACATGGAGGATGGTTGAATACATGAGCTTCCACAATGCGATCCAAATCCTTCAACACGCTTCGAATTTCCCTTCTGAATAAAGTGATCGCCGGCATATATATATTAGTTTTTGAAGGTTCACATCAACTCGTGCATCGTCACATCCGCACACCAAGCTCTTTCAAAAATGAAACCCTGCTACGGCGGGGTGTGTGTGTGTGTCTCATCTGTAAAGATGTAAAACTTCGTTTTTGGTTTTTCACTAGTTATGCAGGGGGCATGCGGCCATCATGCAAACGCATGCCAACGAAGCTATGCATGATGGTGGAAGCCGGGGCTGATCACCCTGGTGTACCTGCATTGTTGTGACTACCTGTTGTTCAGGGTTTGCTTCAATTCAATCGTCAATGTCTGGTGATGGGAAGAGGCTCAACCCAAGAACCTCCAAGTCAATTTTATTTCTTCACGGTTGCCACAATCTGTATTTTCGCCGAAACCATGTCGCCGATGTATTTTGATTATTTCGCCGAGATCATGTCGCCGTTGTACCTGTGATTATTGTGAGAATACATTGCCGAACATTATCCTTTGGATTTTCCACATGCTGGTCAAACTTTGGGGATTCTGGTTTAAACTCCGTTTGACAACATTGGATGCTCTACATCGTTTTCGAGAAGTACTTCAAGGGGCTCTTTTTAAATCTAAAGATCTAGGCTGGTTTGCACGTTTCAGGATTCAGTTCCTGCCGGATCATATAATGATCCATTCTTGTCTAGTGTGTGTGTCTGTGCGTGGTAGATAAATTATTGCTGGTGAGCTTGGACCTCAGTCATTCTTCGCATGTCAATTCTTGGGGTTGATGTGTGCATCATGAGTTATTTGGCGCAACATAGGTGATGTTTGCATATTTGGTAGATCTATCTGTAATTGCTCCTTCTGTCGTTCGCGCCTGGCTGCAGGCAGATGATCCATGTTTTGCGGTCAGAACCTGAGACATAAGCCCGTGAGTCCGAATGCTTGCTCACATGTCACTGCGTCCTTGCGCGACGCACTGAGTCCGATGAAGTTGGGCTGATAAAGAATGTTTGGAGAGTTGCTTCTACTACTGGAAGACTGCCTGGCTGCCTGGGTGTTGTTTTTTCAAAGCACACAAGCAATCATTTCGTGGCTCTCCCCTCTGATGAAACAGATGTGTTGCATGCAGAAGTTCTATGGACTTGCAGGCATTGTTATTTATGGACATACAAGCCGTCACTTCGTGCTTATCACTGCTCATGGCTCAGATCTGGCGTGCAGGAGTTTTTCTATTGACCTAGCATTCCTTGCCTCAACAGTTATGTGAACATTGCCATGGCAATAATAAACCAAACTGAATTATATTATTCAGAGCGGTTCAAACCACCAACCTGTCAATCAATTTGGGAAAAACAGGGAACACACAAACGACACTGCATCACTCCGCTACTTTCGTTTCATCTGGAGAGGAGGTCGTCTCAATGGGGACATTGTGAAAAGGATTGTGCCCGTGTAATAGAGGAATCTCAAAATGATGGCGCCAATAGTCTGCAGTTCGCAAAGACCACTCCCAATTGCCGGAGAGAGCGTAAAAATAGTGTTCGGGATCACGACATTTGGAAATTCCCGAGGTCGGTATCTCTTCAATGAATAACTCCCTGGTGTTGTTGGAGTGAGTGAAGATCTTGAAGTGAATTTGGTGAACCACTCGTGCTGAGAAACGCGTGTGACGAAGAGCGTTGAAAGTTGAGCAATCCTGTGTCGGGAAAGGTACGGCAGGTTGAGGTGGAGCTGAGTATGTGGCCATTGGCGTCGTAGTGCCTGGGTCATTGGGTGTAGTCATTGCTTCCAAGGATGCCGAAGGAGTCGAGGTCGTGTGAGCAGGAGCTTCAATAGTACTGGCATCAGGATGTGTGGATAGAGTTCCACGGTTGGAATTCAAAGGCCATCCCAAGCCCGCCACCGTTGCGTCACGCTTGTTCTCCATGGGTGAAACGGTCAGTCGGAGGAAATTGAGAAAACCAAAAGCTGAAGGAATATATAAGGACCAGTCAAGATCAATGCAAAGGCCATAAGTAGAAAAAAGAAAGAGAAACAACGTTGGCGACGTCATAAATTGAAAGATGAAGCAAATACACGACAAAACATATTTGCACGCTGTGGCACATCAAGATGGTGATGAAATCTTATTGTCTTATTCCGCTGTATGGTCACCGTGTGAAGTTACGGTAGTATCACACCTTGACGAACTTTATGGCATCGGAGTCGCAATACGAAAGGTTGTGAGGTACCTGGTACCAGCCAAGTAGATTGGATGTAGTTGTACTGCCGAATGCGCCATTCAGGTCGGTATTCTTCCAAAAGTTGTATGATGGTCCGATCGTTTGGTACTTTGGAAAACATCTCCTTGAAGATCGGCGTAGCGAAATTCCAAATCTGAAGGTACCATATGAATGTCCCATTGGGTGCGTAATCTGGTGGTCAGTGCGGCGCGTAGATCTCTAAAAGGAAAAATGCCCGCCTCGTCAGGTTGAAAGTGACGTGCCCATGTGAAAAGAGCTTCAAATTCTCCAGCACTGACGTTTCTGAAGTTTGCATTGGATAGAGCACTGTATAGGGCATGATCAGGTTCGCTGCGATGTGTCAGTTCCTGTAAAGGAGAGTAATCCACCAGAACTAAAACGGGTCTGTAGGGAGGTGGGTCGATGTCTCCTGGAAGGCTTCCTGGTCCAGCGAGCCATGCGGCTGATCGAGGGCCTTGGGGTGTATTGACCGATGATGTAGCACGATATGGATGAGGGCGAGAAGAAGATGGGGCCATGGCGTCTTAATGAGATAGTTGAGCCAAAGCTGCAAAGTCACCGACAAAGACGGAGAGGAATAACGTGAAAATAATTGAAAGGAGTGGTGTACCAAGTTG